TTTCGCTACGGCTGGGCAGCGGTCCCGGGACACAGAGCGGGCATCTCTTGCCGCCTCGGTCCTGTGTGTGGTTCACTACATCGCGAAGGCCTTGGGCAGGGGTGGCTCGGGTGGTGGATGCTTTGGCAGACTCGCACTGGGAAGGTTTTCGGCAAGTTCTTAATCGGCGGCCAATGGAAAACGGAAAATGATTAAACAGGCAAAACCACGAAACCACAGACATGCGAGGGAATCTAGTCGGGCTAGAAGCTTTAACGCCGCGCGATGGTATTTTTTAAATCTAGGACGCTGCCCAGCTGGAATATCCACACTCTAGGAGAAAGCAACCAGCCACCTGGAATTATTGGAAGGCTGACAGAGGAAGCAACTTTTTAACAATTTGCGGAAAGACCAAAGTGCTCGCGCGATTGGATCAAAATGGAGCAGCTCCAGCTTCATCAAACTGAGACCAGAGCCACTTCATGAGCTGACTAAAAAAGCAAGCCAGCTTCAAAAAAGGCAGAGACTAAGAAATAAAAACAGCAAAAACGCGCTTGCCTGGCGTTTGGGATTTTAGTGGGACTAGATTCAGCCACCTGGCTGTCGCTTCCTCATTTTTGCTCGTCTTTGGTTTTTTTTTTTGGTCTGCTGGCATTTTCGTGAGATTTTGCAGGGTCTTGCCTTCATTTTGGTAAGTTTTTGGCGCCTCTCCAAACTGGTCCGACCCTCTCTAGAAAATGAAAAGCGTCAACCTTTTGAAGAAAAAACCTGGCAAGACAGAGCCACGCTCTGAGGTGGCAGCTCGGCGGGAGAATCACTCTGCTCCCTTTTCGTCTCTCCTCGTTTTTGTTTTCTTCTTGGAGTGGATGGCCAGAAGAGTGCAAATCTATCCAATTCCCAAAGGGTTTCCACCCAGTCGCCACGCCCTGGAAAAAGTTGAGTTCCAGAGCCTACCGATTTCAAGTTGAAAAATGGCCCAGAAGTTTTTAAATCGTGCAAGGAAAACCCTCGCCACCACTGGAGAAAAGTCAGAGGCTACCGGCTTCAATTCGAAAAATGGCCCAGAAGTTGCTAAATCGTGCAAGAAATTCCCGAGGCGCCACCGGTAAAAATATCCAGGCCCTGAGGGCCCAAGTTGGAAAATGGTCCAGAAGTTGCTACCCTGTGCCTACTTTGTTCCGCTTCCAGTCACCACCAGGAAAAAAGTCCAAGACCAGAAGGACCAGGCTGAGAGATGTGCAAAAGTGCGCCGCTTTCTGGTGGCCTCCGGCAACCCACTCAAGCCAAACCCAAGCCAAAGAAAACCAACGAGGCCCAAACCGTGACCAAACTGAAACCAAACGCGAGGGAAACCCAGCGTCAACAAAACCGAAACCAAACGCCCGCCGGAAGCCCGCCCGACCTCAAACCAAACAAGCGAGGCCTAAGCACGCCCGGGGCTCGAGGCAGGGCCGAAGCTCGCAGCATGCTGCTCGAAACTCGGGCCAGGCTTGGGGCTTACGCTGGGCGTGGAACCCAAACGGGGCAGGCTGCGACGCGCTGCGTGTGCGTCTTCTCTGCTCTTCCCTCTTCTTTTTCTTGGGTCTTCTGAACCGCAGGGACGGAGCCCGATGCCAGCAGCCAGCGCGGCGCGCCCTCGAATCTCGAGGAGCGAGAAGCGGGGAGAGAGACAAGAGAGGCAAAGGGCGGGATGGCATGACGGTGCTGCGGCTTTGGCTGCGAGTGGTTCTCCAGTGGTGACCCGGTCGACACGGTCCCGCCTGTGTTGCCTTTGTCTTCTCTTTTGTTTCCCTCTCGCTTTCCTCTCTCCTAGGAGATTCGAGGGCGCGCCCCGGTGGCTGGTGGCGGGCTGCACTGCGTGCGCAGTGTGTGCCGCTCGGTCTTCTTCGTGCTTGGTTCGCTCCTGAGATTCGAGGGCGCCGCGCGGTGGCTGGCGGTGGGTTATGAGGCGAGTGCAGTGTGCTCCCCGTCTTTGCCTTTCAGAAAGCTCCGGCTGAGCCCTGGACTCCTTCAAGGCGAGGAGCCCGCCCGGAGTCGGGAAGCGGGGAGAGGATCCATCTCCCCAACGAAATGAAGCCGCTGCGGGTCTTGTTGGTGAGGGGTCGAAATTGTGCGAGTTTGATCAATCTGAGGCGTGTCCCTCTGTCATTTTGCAGACACTTGGAGACGGCTCCAAACTGCCGCAAGAACATAGCGAAACCCCTAGCGGGCGCCGGACTGCTTCGGGACCACGGGCCCCCCTCGGCCCGCCCTGAGGCCTTTGCGGCAGCCCGGTCGAGGCTCGTGGCTGAGTCTTCTCCAAGCCTCTCGGTAGGCCTGGGAGGCGGGGGCAGAGCCCGCGGGAGCCGCCTCGCAAAGCCTCCGGCAGGCTCGCAAGAGGCCGCCGCCGAAGCCTTGCGCGGGGATGCATTCTTCACCACGTGGCTAAAGCGTGGCTATTAGAATCATTCGCAGACAGATCGCTACATCTAGACTGTGGAGGAATCTAGACACAGAGCGGACGCCGACGCTGTGCGGCGTCGCGGTTCTGGTGTTAGAGCAGGTGGCCGCGGCGTCCTCTCAATGTCAAGGGGCTCGCTAGTTTGCTTCGCTTTGGGCTCGGCTTGCTTCTGGTCTGATATTGGTAGGCCGCAAGGCTTACCCGCTTCCAATTATTAAACGCCGGGCGGGGGTAAAGCAGCGGCTTAACATCGCTGCCCGGTTTTATTCTTCGCGGAGCCTAGTCGGCGCGAGATAATTAACCGGCTGCAAATGGTCAGGGGCGCCCACCTCTATTTGCGGACGAGCGACGGCAAGGAAGAGCCCAGGCGCAAGCCCCGCGACTGCTATCAAAGCTACGGCTTTCGCGCTACTTAAGCTGCTAAGAAGCGAGGAGGCCGCAACCCCGTGGGAAGCTAATGGTAGAAAAGGCTTGCCGCTTTCTTCCATTAGTTTCCCGTAGGCCCCAATAGGCTTAAGAAGCGAGAAGGCCGCAACTCCGTGGGAAGCTAATGGCAAAAAAGGCTTGCCACTTTCTTCCATTAGTTTCCCGTAGGCCCCAATAGAGGGCGGCCCAAACCATACGGGCAACCGGGGCCGCGGAATCTATTGGGCCTCCATTGGAGTCCCACTTGGTTGCCCGCCATCTCTGCAAGGGCGGAGCGGTCGGAAATCTAGAGGGGGCTCTGGTCTATGAAAAAAAGCGCGCTGCCTTCCCCGTAGGCCCCTCCACTTGAGGCACAAGCGCCGCCCCCTTTCAGGTCGGCTCAATGACCAAAAAACTCATGGGGAACTCAGTGAAGGGCCCACTGGATTCCGCTCACTTGCTCCCCGCGACCGAAAGGCCCCGAACTTTGCAGGGCTTTGAAGCTGAACACTTGAAAAGTCCCGGCTTTAGGAGCACCAGAGACCGCGCGCGCGCCTGCTAGCTCCATGGCCCTGCCGCCTTGCAGCCGGGCCGCGATAAGTCGACGACGGCAACGAAAACCCCCGCGCCAGTGCCGATTGGCCGAAGGGCGCCGGCTTTTGAGGGGTTTCCAAGCTGAGCGCGTGGAAGGCCACGGCTTTTGGACCAAAAGAGACCACGCCCGCGCGCGTGCTGGCTCCATGGTCATGCCGCTGAGCAGCCGGGCCGCGATAAGTCGACGGCGGCGACGGAAACCCTCGCGCCGGTTGCCGATTCGCCGAAAGGCCCCGGCCCTTGGGTAGTTTTCATGCTTGGCGCTGGAAAGTCCACGGCTTTTGGAGTGAAAGAGACCACGCCCGCGCGCCTGCTGGCTTCATGGTCCTGCAGCTCAGCAGCCGGGCCGCGATAGGTCGACGACGGCGGCGGAAACCCTGGCGCCGGTTGCCGATTGGCCGAAAAGCCCCGGCCCTTGGAGAGTGTTTAGGCCGAACGCTTGAAAAGGTCGGACCTTTGGAGAAAAGGTGACCACGCTCGCGCGCCTGCTGGCTCCATGGTCCTGCAGCATCACAGCCGGGACGCGATGAGCCGACGACGGCGACGAAAACCCTCGCGCCGGTTGCCGGTTGGCCTTTACGCTTTAAGAAATCACAAAGCAAGTCAACTGCCTCAGCCATATAGTTTCCGCGTTCAGAAACAGCGGAGCGCAGTCCTATACTGGGAAGAAGATCATGGGAAGAATGGAGGGCGCGCGTTCCTTCTCAGACGAAGAATGGTAGACGCCCCCACTCACGTTTGTAAGAACTTCGCTCGAGACGGTTTTTATTCGAGTGAAGTTTATGTCGTGTTATGTCTGCCCACAACGCCTCTGGAGGTACTACAGCACTTCACAGACGTGACGCATTTTTCTCTTATGTAGCAGAACTCCGAATGCAGATAGGTGCCGTGTCGTCCGATTTTACAACTGACAAGGAGTGCTGTTCTACCATTTTACCTACAGTACAACTCTCGAATAACACCTTCTTAAACCTGATGGTGAACTGTTTTTTAAGAATTATATTTCGGAAACAATAATTTCCAACGGATTATATTTATGAGACATGAAGATGCGAAAGGGCAAGCGAAGTCTGTGAGAGATGTTTTCAAGTAACAAGTCTGTGAAGAGCTTTGCTCGAGAAACTGTTTCTTTTTATCTCGAATCCCCTATGATTTCTTTGTTAATACAAGGCTGGTATATCGGTTAAGGAGCGCATGGAAGTCGACATGATCTGTTTACTATAATATGACTTAGTTTTTTCCATGATGTGAGGTGAGCGAGCAAGAATCTGGTCAGTGCTGAAGGATGACTGCTGTGAGACGGCTCAGTGCTGACGAATCTCTGTTGAGAAATCAAGCTCTGTTGAGAGGAGCGAAGACTTATGTGAGAGCAGAGGCACGTCATTGTTTCCTTGTCAACGTATAATCATCAAGTGAAGGTTGATGCGAAGGAACTCTTTAAAGAAAAATCACTATCACTCATAAGAATTCTCACCCACCGACCACAGCCTTTAGTTCTAGAGTTTTTTCTCGTTTCCCCCCTGTCCTCGTTCCATTGTGGATCCCTCAGAAAAAGTTTACTACATTTCTAGATAGGTAGTAAGAAGATCTTCAACTCTACACACGTAGAACATTTTTCATCAGGATTTTCTATTTCATAAATCGAAATCTCTTAGAATCCCAAAAAATCCTCAAGATGGATATCGTTGTGACTGATGCCGATGGTCTCCCGGAGAAGGCCTACGTCTCCATCCGTATCGGTGAGACGCGCCGACAGGGCCCCTACAAGCCGAATGAATGCTTTCACTTCGCTGCGTCCCAACACGCGACCATGAAGGTCGATATCTTCCAGTACCTTGGTGGAACCAGCGTGGGAATGTATTTATTTATTACCCTTATGCAGATTCTTTTGCGTTTGCCCAACAAAGACGAAGCTACCAGGTCTGAAAAATGATTTAGTTGCAAAAGAAGAACATTTCCTTACTTACAGAATCCTTAAATTGTGGTTCATTTCCGCCACGAATGTCTCCAGTGTGGTACTTAGTACTATAAAATGAAAAATCAATTAAGTACGATTCTAATATCTATATCTCCTCACTTCCTTACAACTCTTTTCCCTTCCCCCTGCATGTGAAACAACTCTTTGATCTCCTATATCAGCTGCCTAAGATTCGTTTTCCCCAACATCGATCTGAAGGTACAACTCTTTCATCTCCTATATCAGCTGCCTAAGATTCGTTTTCCCCAACATCGATCTGAAGGTACAAGCTGAAGAACGATGAGGAGCATGTGGAGGATGTTGAGGTGAATGGGATGACCCTGAAGTGCAAGTGCGTTTATCCCGAAGACTCTCCAGCCAAGAAGCGGCAATCTCGCCACGAGGTCACTCTCAAAGCCACCAAGTACTTGGATGAGCACGCGGTTCAGCAAACCCTTCAAGCCATGATCCGTGGACTACTGGAGAAACAGTACTTAGATATTGGATTCTTCTGTTACAAATTTATATCAGTTTGCTGGACATAGTCTTTGTTGGTTTCAGTTCTTGTAGCATATGAAATAGGTCAAAAAAAACTTTCCTTCCCTCTCTCCCTTCAGACCCGAGGATGCTTTGGAGTACATGATTGGCTACATGAACGATATGAGAGGTGTCAAGACCCTCTCTACGATCGAATCCAAGGATACTGCAGACGCCACTCCCGTCACCCGCGCTCCTAGTGCTGAGGAGGCCAAGGAAGAAGTCAAGGAAACTACTGAGGCTCCGGTCAGGGAAGAGGTCAAGGAGGAGGTGAAAGAGGAAGTGAAGGAGGAGGTAAAAGAGGAGGTCAAGGAAGAAGTCAAGGAAGAGGCCGCGCCGGTTGAGGAGGCACCGGCAGCTAAGGAAGAAGAGGCACCGGCTGCCGTCGAAGAAGCGCCGGTCGCTACCGAAGAGGCACCGGCTGCCGTCGAGGAAGCGCCGGCTGCGGTCGAGGAAGTTCCGGCCGCGGCTGAGGAGGCGCCAGCTGCTGCTGAAGAATCCCCGGCTGCCACTGAAGAGACCCCGGCTGTGGTCGAGGAGGCACCGGCTGCCACTGAAGAAGCTCCGGCTTCCACTGAAGAAGCCCCGGCTGCCACCGAAGAAGCCCGAGCTGCCACCGAAGAAGCCCCGGCTGCCACCGAAGAAGCCCCGGCTGCGGTCGAGGAAGCGCCCGCTGTCCTCGAAGAGGGAGCTGCCGCTGAAGAAGTCCCAGCTGCCACTGAAGAAGTCCCAGCTGCCGCTGAAGAAGCTCCGCCTGTCGCTGAAGAAACTCCGGTTGCCGCCGAGGAGGCGCCAGCGGCCGCAGCTGAAGAAGCGCCTGCTGTCCTCGAAGAGGTAGCCGCCGCTGCTGAGGAAGCTCCAGCTGCCACGGAAGAAGCCCCAGCTGCCACAGAAGAAGCCCCAGCTGCCACTGAAGAAGCCCCAGCTGCTACTGAAGAAGCCCCAGCTGCTACTGAAGAACCTCCGGCTGTCGCTGAACAAGACCCGGCTGCCGCCACGGAAGAAACCCCAGTTGCCACAGAAGAAGCGCCAGCTGCTGAGGCAGAGGCCTAGGCGTCGATGCTTCTCGCGATAGAGACGCGAATAGGAAATTGCTACTAGATATTAGAGTTGCGATTATCGACAACATTCAGAAATGTACAAATGACTTACAGCTGAACTCCTCATCGAAAAAGAAACGGGAAAAATTCTTATGGAAAAAGCTAGAACTACTAAACATTGTACTATTTTATTGAAGTCAAAAACAGAAAGTACTTATACGATAATTTAGAATGAAGATACAAGCCCGACTAACGAACATGGACCACGATCCATCTCCACAGCACTAGAACATGAGACCTTTGAGTAGAATAGAAAGCTTTTTCAACGTCGTAGGAAGATGAGAAGTCGAAGACGACTAGAACCGAAGTTAAGGTCGGAGTTTGTGATTTTTCATGATGAACAATTAGCAGCCTTAGACTAGAGTAGATCATCTTCTTAACGTTCACTACCTACATCAATTGTACTTGCAACATTGTTTTCTTACATAGAAATTTCGTCAGGGATTAATAGCTTCTTAATATTACAGCACATCGGCATGGCAATATGAGATTCGATTCTATCTTTAACAATATTCTTCAATCACAATCATGTAACTACATAAGCATAAATCATATCATAGATATTCAATAAAAAACGCAATCGCATTTTCCAATACACCATGACAGGTGCAGTTACTACTTATGAACAGAGAAGGAGAAAAAATTCAGAAGGAACAGGATGGAGTCCTTTTAAGCGCCGTAGTTATCATAATTTCGCTTAAGAAATGAACCACATATGTCTCCATGCATACGCCCATACGCATGTGAAGTTCGGCTGTTCAGTGCTTATTTTATATATAATACCGATTGTATTTGTAGTCTTTCATACAAATCTGTCTTCTTCTTTGACGTTATAGAGAAGAATAGAACCTCTTGTTGTGATATTGTTCATATCTTTTTATGAATGGCAGCCCTTCCCCTTCGTCGTGTTTCGGGATCTTCAACACGCACTGGAACCAAAACAAGACGTTGAAATGAATCTATAATTAATGAGGAAGATGAAATGATCTAATGCAGCTTCGCAGTGTGTGTTTGCCACGTGCACCATTCTCCTACACCTTTCATCCTCAGGATCCTGAAGAACCTGTCTAGAGGAAATCCATCTTTTCCAGCATCTTGCCTCTGTTTTGAAGGGAAAAAGGTCACGAAGATGCTGATCAAGATAGATTTAGGCAAGGTCTAACTATACGTCGTTTGTCTAGCAGGAAATCACAGTAGCATTCCATCATTTTTGGGAGAAATAAAAATCAAAATAATCGAACTGCTTTGATTCCAGTTTCCGTGACTGATCGCTTTGTAGTAGATCAGGATGTTCTTCTTGATGCGCTAGGGTCCATGCCAAAGATCGGATGCTTAGAGGATGACGAGCTATCTTTGTGACTAGGAAAATTTTGACAGGTCTATAGGGATCTTCACGATCATCAGCAGGTTCAACACAGGCTCAACACCTCCATCAGCAGGTTCAACACAAGCTCAACAAAAAGATCCAGAGAAGATGCATCGTGATATTCTTGATCTTTCTGAGGCTCAAAAAGTTAAATACCTGCATGATCATCGCACTGATCCGTGTGCTACAGCTACAGGAGTTCCCTGACTCTATCCTCCTCCATATCTGTCTCTCTCCTCTACTACCTCCCAGGCTTCATTTGCGGTGTCTATTTTCTTGCTTACAAAGTTTAATGCATTAGAAACGACTTATTGGAGTGTGCTCTACTTGCACCGTTCATGGTAATTATATTTCGGCGTCAAGACGTACTGAAATTATATTTACAGACGTATTTGCATTATTTGCATCCATTCTTAGATTTGTCTCTCACTGATAACCTGCAAACTACGACTCTAGAACATCATGGCCACTTCTACAACAAATAAGAAAATGAATCTCTCATGGAAGCGCGTGGCTGGCGCGCCACGTGCCTCGAAGACTGCAGGTCATGCGTATATCCAGAACGAAGCTTCTGGTTCGGCGTTTGTCTACCTAGCTGCAGAGAAGTCGCAAACCCTTGTCATCGTTTCTGATCGAGGTGTGCGCGAAGTGCCATACGCGAAACCATGCAAACAAATAATTGCTGCAAGAAAGAATGAAGCCAAGGGGGGTGTGATCGAGGTACTTACTTCATCCTTATACTTCGTATAAAAAGATCTGTTGTGGCTGTTCATCTTCAAGGGGAAAAAGTTCTATCAAAATTGGTCTTCGTTCATTCGCGTTTGAAGATCATTCGCTTACTTATGGAAACCTCACATATTGCCATCAATACAATCTTTAGGTTGACTTGCTAGAAACTGCGCGCATGCTGGTGCGGGTCACGATCAGCGGGAACAGCGTTACGAACGTGAGCAGACGCGAACTCTCGAGCAATTGCGTAGCCAGTGATAATGGCTTCCTGCTTTGCGACGACAACATGCTGAGCCAAGTGTCGCATTTCTTCCCAGAAGATGTTGATACCGCTTCCCAGAAGATGTTGGCAGAGGAGGCCACTACTGGTAAAGAGGCTGCCCTGATCACCACGACGACTTCAACGCAACTACCGGTGAATCTCAATATTGGGTCGGCTTTGTCTGCTAACTTCCATGGAGGAATGAGGAGAAAAAATGGTTCTAACAGCAAGAAAGGACAAGATGAAGATGGCGAGAAAGACCTTCAAGACCACGTGAGCAGCAGTCAGCGACATGTAGTCCAGATACGTGCGATCAAGGACCCAAGTGGCACTGTGGTCGATATGTTGTTGCTTGTTGCTACGAAGACTGCAGTTTTTGCTGTGCGCTTAGAGGTATGCACTCACGATAATTCTTGTCTCGTGTCCGGGTCGCGTCAGCTCAATATCAGTCCTCACAACTACGTGGTGGTCGGCGGCAACCTGATGATGTCCGATTCTCCTTCTACGTCCACGACCGCAAGTAAAAATATCACTGCAGAAGCAACATTGAACCCACATACTGGAGCGATGCTGGTTGGAAACAAAACTACGGAAGGTACTCACTTGACTGTAGTCGAACTGGGTGAAGAACGAGGCAGCATTGGCGTGTGGCCGTATACTCGTAGTTCTACGTCTAACTCTGCGAAGAAAACCCTTATCGTGCGATCATGCAGTACTAGAACTGGAAGCCCCATGCTTCTCGAAGTTTCAGGTGAAAATTTCTCACTGCGCAATTATCGCACTGGCATGGAGTTTCTCAGCGGGGATGATGTGCAGTGCGACAAAATTACAGCAGACGGGGATGATGTGGACTTCATTTTTGGCGCGACTGCTGGTGCTGAGAAAGCAGAGAATGCCAATGCCGATAAAGAACACCAGAGTAACAGTCGAGAAGACAGGATCATCGTTGCGACATCCGAGGGCGTTTTTGCATTAACAGTAGAAGTAGCAGGAGAGGAAGCTGAGGAGCCTAGTTTTTCGCTTGCCAGCCTTGTTGGCGCAGGACGGAAACGAACGAGAGAAGAGACAGAGGAGGAAGGCGAAAAAACGACAAAACGAAAAGTACTTACTATCTGAGGTTTGAATCATGGAGGATGTTTTTAAATGGATGATGTTTTTATCGATAATTGGTTTGAATGGAGGATGTTTTTATAAATATTCAACTTCAACATGTGGTCTGTCTAATTGTGTTTGTCTATCATATAAGACTTGTTATGATGGAGATCATTGAGTAAGTCAATCATTCCGAATGATGATATATTGATATTTCAACAAGCAGCTCCTCTCACACATTTTTTTCATCTCTGAAAAATGAATCCAAAGGTTTCCAAACTCGACGTCGCGGCGCGCGCTTTGCGCAGTGCGCGATTGTCAGCGAAGATTAGGGAGAAAGACGCAGTCGCTATGGTCGTAAAACAGCCGTCTTTGCTAGCGACGCTTGTCAGTTACTACAGATACAACAGCGACGTCATGCTCACAGCGCTGAGGGAAGGTTTATCGCAGTCAGAGGGTCTTCGGTGGCTCGAAGCTCTAGCAAGATGGCTAGAATATCACGAGAGCTGCGGATATGCAGCCAGCGGACGCGCACCAGAAGGATCTTCCTCTACTTCAACATCTTCTTCTACGACCAGCCAGCTCCCAACATGTGCCGCTTTGATTCCTTCCGCTGCTAGGGTGATTTCAATGGTTGAGATCCTCATTGACGCGAAGTTCCTAGAATGGTGCTATTTCGTGCCAGCAAGTGCAAGGAACTTCGTCGCACTCCTGGAAAAATGCAAACTGTTAGTGGACAAGGCAAATAGGGGCAGCGACGAGTTGCGTGTTCGCGTCATGCCACTGTATGCGGAATTGATAGACATCATGTCGAGGGACTGCAAGACCAAGGCAGATGCGGAGGCGAAAAAGATGAAGAACTCTTCGAAAAGAGAATCAGCATCCACCTCTGTAGATGAGAGCAACACGAAACCACTGTTGGCAGAGGCCTACACACCGCATTCACATGATAAGCCATATGAAATCTTCCGCTTGGAATTCTAAATACCTCCTAAAGGGTGGTGCTTTCTACCTGAAATATGGGCGGATGATGTTTTTTGATGAACCCAAAATGCATCTGCTGAATCTCTAATGCTTGTTTGAAACTCCTCAACTTCGATGTTTTTATGTGCAGTACCAACTGATTATGGTAAATCCGTTTCCATCGACCGGGATGTGAAGAACGATTCTAGAGCACGAGAGGTGTTCATTTTCTCGACTTGCTCGTTCGCATTCTAGAGTTGTAACAGAGCTTTGTCGATGAAAGTTCGATTTGCAATTTTCGAAAATTTTGCAGGGCTCAGAGAGAGAATGATCGTTTTTCGCATTGATGTCATTGACCCTTTCAACAAACTCCTTACCGAAAAGAATTTAGCTTCAGAAGGCAAGTATCCTTCCAATTCGAAAAAAAAGATGATTAACGACTCAATCAAAAAGAACTACAACTACATCACACAAAAGAAGCGATAAACAAGAACTACGACAAAAACCAATCGACCCCCCATTCCCGATTAAGTAGACACACAAGAACTGGAACTACAGAAGTACAAAAGAAATGCCCTCTCTGCTCGTAAACCATCAATCCAAGGCACGCCAAAAGCCTTGGGATGGCAGCCACGCTCGACTCGGATACGAAGACCGCAATGGTCAGGGGAAATCGCTCAAGGAGCGCGCCTATTTCGATCCAGCCCTTCCTGCTGAAATCAAGGTGTCGGCGGATTACGAAGACAAGAACGGGGTTCGATTTTCGGAGAAAAGTTATGATGCGGTTTTGCATGTTCGTATTGAAGGATGTCGAATTGTAGTAGCAGTACCTGGGATCAACGTTCTCGAGCAGCTGTTCTGTCTCGTAGGCAGTAGATCTTCGATGTCCTCACACAAAAATATCTCGAACCTTTTGTTGACCTCCTTCCCCACGTTCATACTCTGGGGAAATCCCTCCTCCATTGGGATCCGGATGAGCACAAGAAGGCCTCCAGCAGTGGCTGGGACAACCGATGGTCTAAAGCAGCTTCTATCGGATTAGAGGACAATCATTTGCTGAATCCGCACTGTCGACACTACTTCGCGAAATCATTAAGACAACACGTCGCTGCAAGAAAAGATTATACAAGATATTAGTTTTCTAACTTTTAGGAAAGAATAAGAAACTTGAGAATTCTAAGGCGCCAATGAGATTGTTAGTAAAGCAGCTGCTTATCAAGAGCAACATTCTTGGCTCTCTTTCTCAGAGGAAGGAAAGAGAGGCCAAAGATGGCACGAAGGATGCGAGGCTGTGGTAGCTCTAAAATCAGGTCTCCGTACGTCCTACCGCGTCCGACAGTTGCCAGCACCAAAAAAGACTGAGGCTGAAATTGCAGAGAAAGAACTGGAGGAATTTGGAGGGATCTATAATGGATTGGCAGGAGTGGCTGGGGGAGGTCCTAATTTGTGAAGAGGGATTCTAGCGATATTTTGTAAGACCCGTCAACGAGTCGTGATCAAAACTTTTATATTTTTTTTTTACTTTGCCCTAACATAGGCGCCCAGCATAAGCTTGACAACAATCCACATCGCCATCCCATATCAATTGCAGAATTGATTTCAAGCCTGAAAATAGATGACATCACAATCTCACTCTTCTCATCAAAAGAAACACTACAACAGGTATTAACATTCGATCGCACAGTGCAGACCAACGCTCCTTAGATTCGTTTTTTACGAACAATTCCAACACGAACCAAGACAACGCTCCTGAGATGAATTCTTATCGTTCCTCCAGTATGTCTGCACGCGGTTCGAAGCAGGAGTGGGATATGACGTTTGCAACCAGACCAAGTTCTCGCATGAATGTTTACCGTGACAAGAACTCCCGTGAGTACTTCCAACGTCTTCCCGACGCCTACTCCAGAGACTGGTTCCAGCTAGACGACGAAGCAAAATACCGCCAATCCTACGCCCCAAAGCGAAACTCGGAAGTTTCCGTAGTGTCTGGAGAAGAGGGGGATGGAAGTACTAGCGGTTCAGCGAGAGGGTCAGCAAGAGGGCCGTTGGCTACTATTAATACGGATCCTTCTGCTCCAGGATCTGATGCACGAAACCTGATGAATCGAAGGGATACCCTCTCCTCTACTGCAACGTCCGATGCAGAATCTGCGAGCAACATTAAGGCTTCTCGAAAATAGGCTTTATTTTCTTCTGTCATGCTACTCGCTCCTACTCAAAAATGAGAGAGTGTCCTCGGTTTCATGGAACTAGCGATCCCTGTACCAAGAAGGCTTAGAAGTAGTCTGAAAGGAATTCATCCGGACATCCTGATTTCCTTACGTACACTATCTATCTCAGGATCTAATCCAAGCATCGCCGCGGGATCGAGTCATAGTGGTCTCTTCGGATTGAGTGCGGCGTCAACAAGGATGAGCACGCCAGATCCAGACGTGCCACACGTATCGAGACGTTCTTACAGCAAGAGCGCTTTTTCCAACAGTGCTAGTGCAGAGGAACACTCTTTCTCCTCGGAACAACAACTATCTTCACAGAAAGCATTTAATCCGACGAAGATGAACGGCGCTCCATCCGGTGCTTCGGCTGCGTCTACGACCGGTTCTGCATCGGCGTTTTCTAGCAGCGAAAGCGAAGTTGAACAACCACACGCTCTTGACGGTTCTTTAGCTGGAGGTGGAAGAAAATTTTCGCAGATTACGGTCTCAACGAAGGCAGACAGCTCACATAGTAGTCCACTCCAGTCTACGGCATCGTCGCCAGGCACTGCAGTGGCAACCGGGCTGGGCAACGTCTTGGGAGGTGGTGGAAGGGACAATGTTGGTAATAGCTTGATCTCTTTGTAGTTAACGTACACGTACTTCGAAGTTTTCCACCTTTCATTTAAGTGAAGTTACAGCCCCTCATTTTCTAGCAGAAAATGCAACAGTCCCTCACACCTATGTTTCCTGTATAAATGTGGGTCCCCCCTGATCAACATCAGTCCTCGGTCCCATCGCTGGTCACCAGTTAGTTCCTATTGAGGAGCATTCGGGAAGTCAGGAATTCCGAAGTGCCAACGACGCGATACCTGGTCGTGGCCGCGAAGTCGAGGTGCCGGTCAAACCGTCAACGGCGCCAGAAAGAAAAGCGATGAGTTTGGATCGCGCGAAAGCTGCTGGTTTTGGGACGCCGAAATGGTATGTTTGTTGACCACTAGTTGTGACAAACCTTTCGTTCCCTACAAGAAATATAGAAACCATCTTCCAAGAACATGATCCAAAGGTACGTCTACGGTCTCCTCTCCGCTGACAACAAGAAACTGCACCCAAATTGCCGCCACTATTTTGCGGTTCCTGGGATTGGAACGGGATGCCGCCTTCGTGGGATTCCAGTAGAAAAGAGGATGACAGATCGTGCTTCTCGACGTGGCATGCATATGGAGCCCGAACGTGCTCCCTTCAATGCAAGTGACCCCTATGGTCTTCTCGCTGAGCAGAGAAGTAGCAGAAGCAGCAGTCGAGGAGGAAACTCTGCTACGTCAAGCAGGATGTCAAGATCAGTGTCAGTTGGGCAAGAAAAATCGTCAGGAGCCGGGAAGGGATGGAACGATCGACATCACTTATTGTAATGACTTAATATGATTTTTCTTGCTTTTGGTCATAGCTTTGATGTAAGGTGATTTGAGGACACGATATCTTCTCTTTCATGACATAGACATGCTTCCTTCAGTGCTGATTTGTTGTGTTTTTACATATCCACCCATGTCCACCACGCTCCATACTAACCACAGGTACTCACGAACGAACTCCGGTCTCTCAGCCGGTGTAAGAGATTATTTCTCCACCGAGCATCACAGCAAGTATCTCCGACGCCATCGGGAATACGAGTGAGAGGAATTGGAAATTTAACAGCACTCAAGTGGATTGCTTTCCAATATGTCGAGACGCTGGAATTTTACCGCTATTTAATTTTGTTCTTGAATGAACTCTTTTTGAAAGACTCGAATATCCATCAATAAGGTAATAATGGACTTTTTTTCTGGTATTTAATCAAATGAACGCAGCTCAAGATAGTCTGCTCTTTTTTTTGTAATTTCTCGGAACGAAATGAACGTAGTTGGGCAATCAAATGTCGGATACAAGAGATATGAATAGACTGACATTTTTACTATAACGAACTAGGAGTTTGTGAACACCTATTGAAGCGGCTTTTCCACATGAATAATGTCACCCGTGTGCATAGCATAAAAAATGAACTGTATTTAGTGGTGACTTTGGTATGCAAGGATACTTATGCTTTTTTTTTGTACAGTAGCTGGTAAAAGTAGTTTTGCTGACTAATTTGCCTCTTGATGCGCGAAATCTCCAATTTGAAAATTTGAATGACTCAAGAAATTAGCATTAGCGATAAAACACTCAATGAATATGAACGAGCTAAACTACATTGTTAAGATTCATTGTCGTCATGTTTGTAGGCGATACTGGATTCTGAAATTGAATTGTTCTCATTTTGATGAGCGTCTCCATCCTGAACTATACTTTTTTTTGTCAAGCAGTCAGAAACAGAATAGTATAGAACTTGTTTTTTTTGGTCTTCTCTTTTGTAGTGAGCCTCCTGCCTTTCATCTATTTTGTTGTCAGAAGATCCCGATCAGGGCCATTTCTTGCCGGGCGAGTGGGCCTCTTTTAGCAGATCAAACTACACTCAGAAGTTTAATATGGGATCACGACTTTGGCAGTAGATCTTTAGTAGGTCAAAACAAGCAGCCACGACAGGTGGGCAACAAGCCTGAAGTAGATCTTTTAATCTGCACCGAGACAATGAAGATGGAATTCCCACAGAGGTCAGTGCAACGATTACAGGTCTGAATTTTGAAATTGGTTCTGTTCCCTTTCAACGAACGCTCAAAGACAGTGTGCTCTCTCGGAAAGGTTAAAATCTGCGCAAACAGAAGCCGAATTGCCTCAAGCGAATGATAAAAGCTGAACGAAGCAAGGAAAGCTCTAGTCTGTTTCGGTTCATCAAGACGATGTGTCAAATCTGGTGATTGCAAAAATTCCCACAGGACGGAAGGAACAAAACATAGGTTATCTTTAGCAAACAAGGAAATGGCTTATAGCGATTTTGTAGAAAAAACCTGGCTCATGGGAATAAAGAAGGTGTATCAATTATAGAACATGTCTCATCAGCATAAAGAAGGTGGATTCGTCAGATGACGACGTATCTAGAAGATGATAGAAAGTATCTAGCAGACGTATCTAGAAGCTGTAGAGACAACGGATGAACATCTTCACAGCTTCAACATCAGAGAAATTCGTAGAACACAGAGGAGACTCAGGGAAGTCGTAGGTCCAACCCGAATCGACTAACATCGTCATCGTTACAAAGTAACGCGAACGAGCTCCATGCTGTATTTTGTTTCATTGCTTTCAAAGATCTGTTTAGGGTGAAAAGCTACGTCTTAGTAAGAGCTGAGGGTCCATCAAGATGTGAAGGTTATCATCTAAGATCTACAACCATTTTCCACGACCTCAAATGATTGGTTGCATTGCTTCTTCATGATAGCTGGTAACCAGCGAGGACCAGGCGGACCAATACATAGGAGCAGAAAAACAAAATGGCTGCTGCTAATGTGAGGGGCGCGGCCGTCGTGGCCGCGTACACGAATTTCGACCAAGGGCGGCGAAACGCAGTGAATGACGCATCGCGAACCGAGTTAATCGACATTGTGGACTTGTACAGGGAGTTGAATGTTGACACCGAGGCAGCGACATTCACAGGCCAGCGACGTACGTTTGACGGGTATCTTCGGTCAACGGAGAAGGCAGGCAAGATACCGCATCGGGAGACGCCTGGGAAGGGCATGCCCTGGAAGTGGACTCCAGGGACGGACCTGGACAATGTCCGGGCACTCCTGATCCACCGCTTCATTTAAGGACTACAACCACATTGCATTCTTCACAACTACCGTTCTTAAGGATTCTTTTTCCGCCGGGCGGAGGATGGTCTGAAGAATGCAAAAATGTCGCAGCTCCTAACTCATCCAGAGAAAACCGATCCAGGCTCTGGACCTGTCATCTGTTGGGCCTGCGCTAGCCGACTCTGTGTTCGAGGCTGCAGCGAAAGCGAAGGCAGCTGCAGCACCCAAAAAGAGAATACGCGATAAGAAGAAGAAGAAACAGGACTCCGCGGAGGGTGAAGCAGGAGGGGCAGATCAGAACAAGAACAAGAAACACGCAGAAGCAGCGTCTAGCTCGAACAAAAACAAGCAGGGAGCAGCAGACAAGAAGAACAACATCAGAGCGAAGAACTCCAATAAGGGAGATGGTGACGGGGAAAGTAGTAGTTCTTTGGATGTTTCAAGTAGTAGTTCAGGCGACTCCTCTCCAGAACGAGCTGGTCCTGGTGGGAAGCGACCTGTCAAGGCGATGAAGAAGGGTGCAGACGAGGATACGTCAGATTCGTCTTCTTCAGATTCTAGTGACGACGAGCAACCAAGGACAAAACGACAGCGCGCACCTGATGGCAAGGCAGTGAGACCAATGGCGAAAGTAGCGGCCAACGGGAAAGCTACGGCTTCTTCTGCATTCCTCCGACAACAACAATTGAAAAACAAAACAGCGACGTCTTCGTCTAGTGCGACTTCTTCCTCGCTTGCACTTGCTCAAAAACAAAACTTACAAGTTCTAAAACAAATCAACGAGATGTCGCCTACTTCTCAAAACCTGCTGGTCACGGGATCAGACGGGGTGACGCAGGTTATGAAGACAGTGAAGCCCCCTCCCAAACCTAGTAAAGCAGTGAACTCTGCTGGAGGAGCTCAAAGTACCGCGCAGCGAACTCTGGAGGCTTTGCGCAAAAAGCTCAAAGAGCAAGCCGCAGACGAAGCAGAACGATATGAAGCAAAGAAGCAGCCCGCGTTCTGCCACCTCGAGGATCAAGAAAGATTTTTGAGCCAGTCCGAGAATAGAGTGTATCTAGTTCTTGTTACTACTGTCATTATTTCTGCACGTTGTTAAAATTATCGAAATATGAAGAGCTTAGTTGTGACCTTCTGGAATTTGGACTGTACTGCAGTTTTCATTGCTGAGGATGTTTTATATTTTTGACCGACATTCGAATTGATGAGAATGTAACACCTCTAGACTACTAGGTACAATTAAATCATTATCATCATCACACCAATATTGCATCTCATTCTCTCGTTCCCCTTTGTACTTTTCTACACCTATCAACAGGATTTATCAAGTTTGCGACAACGTTCCAGTCCAACATCCTGACCTAGCCGTTTGCAGCGCCAGAGGCTGTATTCTGCTTGGCAAGGGTATGTTCGGCAATGTGTATCGGGCACGAAAATACTGGCAGGGTGAGGCACGACCGCCAGAGGCGAAGGCGATCAAGATCTCTCGTTCCATGGATGCCGCTGACTTCAGGGCGCGCGTGATGAAGGAGCGCGATCGCATGGCAGAGATCAGGAGCCTTGCGGACGCAGATGCAGCAGTCGAGGAAAAGGAGATGGCACCAGTGCAGGCGCTAGTCAACAAGCAGCAGGCGTTGGTAGACAACCAAAAAGAGGCGCTGAAAGCCCTGATGTCGCGAACAACGTTATCGACAGAAACAACGTTATCGACAGAAACTACGACCGCAGGACCAACGTCGAATCCTTCTCCGAATGCATTAAGAGGAGAAAATGTGGAATCTACGACGACTTTTTCTGGCAGTACCAACGAGAACGGGAGCACAGCTGCGAATGGCACGACCACGACATCTCGTACAAAGAGTGAAGCCTCCACTTCTACCAATACAACAAGTGACGTTACTGCCACTACTAATAGCTCCATATCCATTGATACCACTAAGATAGGAGTAGCCCTTCAAGAGGCTCAGAAGGAGCTTCTTCGGCTGCAGCGGGAGCAGCTCAAGTTGCAACAGCGTCATGGCCTTTGGCGGCACTTGTGTTTGATGACGGAGCAAATGGTCATCCAGGTGGACTGGCGGAGCCGTAGGCGTGAGCACTTGGTGCAGATCATGGATCGCGCCAGCTTGAGCTTGCTCGAGGGCCTCCAACGGTTCCAACGCGAGAGCGTTTACTGGGAGGACTATCGACCGGGCTTTTTGAGTAGGAGCTACTTCGGTGCGCTCGACGACTTGAATGCGCAGTACATGGGTGAGGATATGCCGAAAGTCGAGTACACAGATGCAACGCAGTTGGACATTCTGGGCTCGAACAAGTACGCTTCGCGTCGCCGTGTACGCGAAAGAGCAGAATTGAAGGCGAAAATCAAGGGCACAACGAACCGGGACCTAGCAACCTGGACAAACGAGGACGAAGCGAGCCTGAACAAGCCAATGATGGGTGGCTTACCCTGGAACTGGGTGCTTCGCTACATGCGCTCTTTTGCACGAGGGCTTGCCTGGATGCACGAAAAAGGCATCGTTCACGCAGACCTGAAGCCAGCAAATCTACTGCTTTTCCCCACAATCAATAGCGGATCTTACGCTACACGAGAAAACCTGAAGCGATTCCTTTCATATGCGGTACTCTTGATACAGCATTTCCATTCTCACACTTTTTGAGTAGGAAAAGTAGAACAGTTGGATACAAATTATAGACTTTTTTTGGGTCTGCGAAGTTTGATACTTTCTTTGTTGATGATCTGCACTTTTATTGATTCTCACCCTACCTCGTCTTTTGCAGGACCTCCGCATTGGTGATTTCGGAGAGGTGCGCACTCCACCCTTTCTGGTCGGTTCCCGATTAAAGGCAGACCATGTTGCAAAAGGCACAAAAGTGGAAGCAAACGTGCAGACCCCCTTTTACCGTTCTCCAGAATGCTATTTGGGTTGCGGCAAGGTCGGAACCGCGATTGATGTGTGGTCTTTCGGCGAAATTGTGCATGAAATGTTGACGGGCGAGCGTTTGTTCGCTTGGTCGCCTCCGGCTAACGTGGTCAACCCTCGAACAGGTCGTAAGGAACGCGTGCAGCATCCTCAACGGCTAGACAAGGACTGGCAACTCGAGACGTTTGAGACGCGCACTGGCGCGGCTTGCAATCCCTCGATCGAGTTCTGCAGCCTGCAACTGTTCGAGATGCAGTGCGAATTAGGAGCGGTGCCGCCGTCGCTTCTGAAGCAGGCAGTGTCGGTGGAGAGCAAACATGTGCGAGAGCTCTATGGCCGTATTGTTGGACAGCGAAAGTACCGTGTTACCTCGCAATACCGTTTGGACATGGCCAAGTGCACCTACGACGTCGTTTTTGAGCAGTTCTGTACTGCGTTTTTCGATAAGGTGCGGCGCGAGCGAAACCGCACAGGAGCGCTTCTATGGTCTCCGTTGACGCCGGACCGGCTACCCAATATTGCAGACGCAGACGACAATGCTACAGAAGTGGAGGAGGTGGATGAAGGTGGAGAAAATGCTGGTCCTGAGCAGCAGGGCCTCCTCCGTGCGGATTCTGTTGGCGTGAGCGCTGTAGCAGCGGCTGCGCTGGTAGTGGATGGCGAAGAGGCGGGCGCAGCACTATTGATGGGCGGCAATGCGAACCCAGGCGAGGCAATCCTCGACAACGTCGCAGCAGGCGCCGACGCGGGAGCAGAAGACCGCGCGGTCGAGCAGCCGTCCGCGACGGATGAGACCAATGGCGAAAGCCCTGACGATCAGCACCAGAACGGTGGTGCCAGTGACGATCCGCAGGACGGTGGTGAACTTCCTGGCCCAGATGAAGAGGAGGAAGAGGAGGAGAAGCCCCCAGCAGGCGCCCCGCCTGTGTCTCCAGATGGAGGCGAGGCAGGTGATGGCGAAAAGCCTCCGCAGTCTGAAGAGAGTCCCGGCGAAGGAGATGGCAATGCTCCAGCAAATAGAGTGAATCATGACAACGGCGAAGACGATGTCGAGGTCGAGACCAAGCTGGTTCCGACCTTCCCCACCCTACTCGAGCGAGCGAAAGAACGCGCCGAGCGAGCTGAGGCCCTCATCCTAGCTGCCTTGACCTGGCAACCAGACGACCGCATCACGATGGCGGACGCGCTTCGTCATCCCTACTTCAGCCCCGACGCACCACCGAAACATCAAAAATATATACAGGTTGGAAAACCGAAGAAGAAGTCATCGGAAAAGAAGTTAGCCACTCAGTAGCCAATCAGATAGATTATAGCTGGCAGAGCCCTTCTTCTTCTTCTTTCTCACCGGAAAAAAGGGTAGTAGAAGTGATTTGGCACTAATTTTTTATTGAAAATATGGAGAGGCTTTGATCCCCACAGCTACAGGCTGAAACTTGTTGGAGAATGTGGGTGGCAGCAGTCATGATGGCCACTTCTTCCCACAATCATACATTTGGGAGACTAGTCATGCACAAGATTTATTTTGCGTTTCTTGATACTTTATCATCTACAGCAAATCATGGCGCATGCAGCTCCTATTCGCTGCTAGAGAACAATGTAAGTACAGCAATCCCTTTATACATGTAACATGGCTTCTATACTTATGATACTCAAATTTAGTGAATCCCCAGCTAACTTCCCATTCTGTTCACCCCATTGTCCCCCTTCTTCTATTGCACTATGTATACCCATCGTGAAGCCCACGACATCCACGACCCAACAAGATGAACGAAGTGTATCTGCGATGCTGTTAAAAAGCTACCTCTAAAAACATTGAGATGCATTGAGACCACCGAGAACTGCAAAGATGCGTCTGCGGAGGACACCTTTATTTTTGTGGTCTAACAGCACTGAACGTAGCTATTTTAGCTGAATATACACTCAGAAGGAGCATATCTACACTGAATGTAGCCATTTTAGCTCAGAAGGAACACATCTACACTCAGTCGGTTATCCTCGGCATTTTTTTGTGATTGAAAAAATACTCAGCCAGTAATTACATGGTCTGGAGAACCAGTGGCGTGCTTTCTTGTGTCGGTCTTTGAAAGCGGGCCTTTATCATCTCCTTGTCGGTCTTCAGTCTCTTCGTCAACGCCAGGATGAAGAGGGTCGAAAGTGCCGCACCATTGAGAGAAGCAGCAGCGCGAAGATCCAGCGAAAAAATACAAAGTGTCCAGCAAGAAGATCCGATGAAAAAATGCAAAGTGTCCAGCACGAAGATCCGATAAAAAAATAGACTGTCCAATCAAATAGACAGGTGACTCATGTCAGTTCCCCTCCCATCCCTTTACCCTACTTGCCTGGATACCAGCTAGAGCTACTAGAAAAAACTTTTTTGAACCCCAAACTTTTTTGAACTTTTTTGTTTTCAAATCGGCTAGAACAGTCACTCTATCGGTTCGGCTAGTAACTGTTCTAGCCGTGACTAGTTCTAGCTAAGTAATTGATTCAGCTCGCGGCAAGTAACTGTTCTTGCTAATTGGTTCAGCAACGTGTCAATCTCGATGAGTGACTGTTGTAGCCGATTCGAAACCTTAATCGCTTCGGTCATTAGGCTTTCCCAATCAGCAGGAAGATCCTGCAAGGGACCGAAGTTCGGGAGATGAAACTGCGCCACGCCAAAGGCCTGCTTATTCAGGAGGCGAATGAGGTATCGCGCTCCGCGGCCATACTGTATCCGCATGGAATGAGGTCTCGCTGGTCGCGGGGGGAGCGCACGTGACCCCGGAGTGCGTGGAATTCGTCGACCCGGACACGCTCGAGCCGTTGCCCGACAGCGTGCTGGCAACAGCTGTGGACTCTCGAGTGACTATGTTTTTCAAATCTTTGCGGGCGCGGGATCCAGACTCGTAATAAGTAGAAGGGCATTATAGTAACTTGGACGGGCATAATTAATTGACATTCGTGAAGTAGAAGGGCATTATAATAACGTGGAAGACGAGCCCGAAGATACCCTTGCTGGTGCGATGCGGGGAGAGTCCTCTCCCGTCCCCAGAAGAAGAAGCAGTTATAAGAGTAAATTAGGAGAACGGAGGCTGGGTGAGCTGGCTAAGCTATGGACGATAAGCAAACTGGATGATCATACCCCGAGTGCGCACGTGTCAGGCTCGCCCTGGGAGCCACGGACCGAAGTGGAAAGTCTTTCAAAAATTACGTTTCTCATATGGATGAGGCAGTTTGCGTGCACATATTGACGAGGTCAAAACCGAAATGAGACACATCTGAACGTCTCACTAGAAGGAGCTAGTTTGGCAAATAGGCCACTGCCTATCGATTCCCCGGAAATAATCATCCGTGCGCGCGGGCTTACCGATGCCCTCTGGCACTATGGAGCTCGCCGCTTTCGTGGAAACCTTCAAGACTTCGGCTCTTGGCTTCTGCCTGCCTTTTGAAGCACGCCAACAGCGCGGTCAGCAGACTCTGACGGCGTGGCACATGCATTTATATAGAACAGAAACAGATAGATATGAACAAAGTGGAAGAAATATTTTGATATTTCACTCTTGAAGGGTCTAACACAATACGGCTTTATCGGTTATGCGGCAGTAACGTGGCTCGGTGAGTTGTACAGCCGCTTGCACAGTAAATCATTTATTAGGTGGCAGTAAATCTTTTGTTAGGCGCTTGTACAGTAAATCATTTCTTAGGTTAGTATACAGCCGCTTGCACAGTAAATCATTTGTTCCCTTGAATGATAAGTGACAGTGTCCTTCTTCAAAGGCAGATTGAGGATGAAACTCGAAATGATTTTCTCCTCCTCGAGAAAGTGGCTCAAAAGCTCCTTCGGTCGCCTTTTGGCGAGCGCAAGGAAAGTGTCGTCAAGTTGCCAGCCACGTGCGCCTGTTTTCTGCTCTCCAACCGCCGTTTTTACCTCGTCATTCGGTTGTGTGGATCATCCATCTCAGTGATGGAAGGGCAACGTTTTTACACTTCGTCGAGCGTAGAAGAGAGAGATGACATGATGCGTTCTTCTCATGTCCTCGGAGAAGGGATTTCCTGTTAGAAAGGCACTGTCTTAGGCCTTAACAGCAAAAGTACGACGAACGAGCATTTTCCCAAAAACAAAAGGGAGGCACTGGAAGCGCTACAAATAGAGAAGAATGGGCAACGAAGAAAGTGTATGGACCCAGGACCACTGATCAATGGTTGAATCTCCATTTCTAGTTAGGTCGGCTCCACCCCAGTTATTGTTTTGTTACTGTTCGTTGTATTCCTGTGAAAGAGTGGCTGTTAGTTTGATGATTACGGCAATACATCACTCAAATTCACAAATGAATGTCTCCCCAACTCCTGACTAGAAAATATGGCCTTGGCAGGAACAACAATAAGCGTCGTCGTCTTGCCTTCGCGGCTGGACGCCTCGACCTTCGGCACACTGCATTCCTCACATGAACTACCCGGTCAATATTCGACACACCGACGATTCTACCAACAACAGCGGAATCGCTATGGTGTGCCTGGTGGTTCTCCATTCTATGTGCACCTGTTGAAAACGCAGGAGAGTCAACCGCATGTTCCCCTGCATGGTGGAGTATGGGCAGCGCAGAGACTACAAATATATGGCTGCGTTTCATCTTCTACTACGTCTTCGACGCAGACCGTGATAGAAGATACGGCTTCACGACGTTGGCTTAGAGCAGGACTGTTGGCAAGAAGAGCTGCTCAAGCAGGCGTGAGACATAGACGGGAATCACGCGTAGTGCGATGCGATGCGGGAAGATCATATGGTGCATCAAACATAGCAGCGCCTTGTTCCCCTTCCCGCGAGGTTGAGCCTATTGGAAATGGCTACGTCGTTGTCCGTGAGGATTCCGATGATCGCGTGGTGTATACCTATCAACCTGATGAAGAGAGTGATGCGACTGCGAATGAACACAAGGCACAGGAGAATGAACACAAGGCACAGGAGCATGAACACAAGGCACAGGAGAATGAACACAAGGCACAGGAGGAGGGAGAGGAACCGTCATCAGTCAGATCAACACCTGCAACTTCCATTCAGCAAGATAATGACGACTACGAGCAGGCACAACAACAATCTTTACAGTGGCGTCGCAGACTCGCAACCCTTCGCTCATTTGGGATGTGGCTCTTTTGCCTAGGTGCTTGGCTTACGGCTTCTATAGTGCCAGTTTACTTCCTGTCGCTTTGCCTGCGTGGAAGTTGGCAAACGCTTCGATCCGTTACTGCCGGTTCGAGCATCACTCATCTAGACTCTGCTTCGTGGCTAGCAACGCATGGACTGCTAGACATCGCAATATGGGGAGTCAGCAGTTTGTTTAGGAGCAGCACCGCTGGTTGCTCGGATTCCTCATCCTCATCACCTTCTCCACCTGCTTTCGATAGAGGACACTTGATATCGAGTTTTTGGACCCAACTAGTCTGTGGAGCGGGTCTCTATTTCCAATCTATTTTCGCTTTGGATCGGGTCGCGGGCAAAGAGGCACTTTTGCTTCCACCATGGGCACGTCGTGAACTTGCTGGCAGTTTGATGTCTTGGTTCCCTAAAGTGGAGGTTGTGGTTTACAAGCACAAAGGAGGTACTGGAGAAGGTATAGAGCTTGACAAGAGCAAAGTGATGATGATGGTTCATCCACATGGAATACTTAACGTGGGAGGCTTCCTGTTGTGGTCGCATCTATACCTGAAACAACAGACGGCGGTTCGGGATTCATCTTAAGGCAGATGTCGTAGTCCAAGATCCTTTATTCGCTTGATAACACCCCTCAGGGCAGACAGATAAAGAATTCGCATGAAGTCCTCTTCTAACTACCAAGGCGTCTTATCGATGAAACTGAAAGAGTAATAGCTCTCGGTTCTTCATCTCCCTTCGCAACGTCTCTCGTGGCGCCATTTTTAACGTCGATTGGTGGTCTACCTATGCATGGTCTCACTCGTATGGTCGGTCTAGAAATGGCGCCAGCTCGGCGCAGTTTCTTCCGAAGACGTTATGGGCGCAAGTCTCGAACAACTGCTTCGGGAAGTAAAAAGGATGGTAAGCTCAAGAGACTAGATAGCGTGAAGAAGATCAAAGGTGAGGACAAGGAGGTTGATAGTAGTACAAGTAGTAAAGGTCATTCTTGTTCTGATAGGACGATAGGCCCAGTCGGCATCGTCCCAGGAGGTTTCCCAGAAATCGGACTTGGAGAAGGTGAGGTGTATCTCAAAAACCGGAAAGGAGTTATCAAGCAAGCGCTGAAGTATGGTCTTGCGCTGGTGCCAATCTATTGTGACGGCGAGGTGGAAAAGTGCTATTCACAAGCGAACGTTTTGCCGAAGAGTGTGGCTAGTTATGGAGACAAGGCTTTGCTGAAATCTTATCATCAACTCTTCGTTTGCAAAGACTTTCCTGAAATCTCATCGTCATAACTCTTCGTTCGCAAAGAGTAGATTCATCACCTAAAAACTCTACAGAATGTAAGTCCGAACTACTTATGTAGTACCCTAAACCCTAACCCATGTCCCACTCCAATCTCTTCTTTCATACTCCATGGCTGAATCGCATGGATGTGCCTACGACGTTGTTCTGGTCCAGTTATTTTCCGGCACCTAATCCCGTGTCCGGTCTGAGAGTCCTCATCGGCGCACCTCTACAATTACCACAGATGGATAACCCAACTCGGCAAGAGATAGACTTGTGGCACGCGAACTACGTGGAGGCACTGCAAGGATTAGTTGAGAAAGAAACGGGGAAAAGGTTGAAGATTTTGTGAGACTCCTGTTTAATAATCTTCTCATGTCGTAATTGATTCTCAGGGTTTGAATTAGAAAGACCGCTATTCCTTGAGTCCATACACGGTGCTTATTACTTTCTTCTGCTTTTCTCAGTAACGCGATACTGGCTGTGCTGGAGCCCTGTCTCTATGTGTAAAAAAGAACATGAATACGAAAAACAGGCAGTGCAATTCACGAGGGAAATGGCCCTCACAAAGCTTGATGAAGGCTGTTGTTCCCAACAGATTTTGGATACGTCCTCGGACCCAATGCACCCTTGCACAAAAGATTCGAATCACTTCCTTCTTCGAGTAGGTATGTTTTCGTGTAAAAAGTATTCTTTAAAAGGAGATTTACATCCACAAGTACTACAACTTCGAAGATGTCTCCTGCATCATGTTGTAATAACTAATCCTTTCAGTACCTCTACCTACCCCTAAAAGTTATGTCATCCTCGTTGATTGAGTACTCAAACCACATATAACTTGATACCTCTCGACGTCGTGAAGAAGAGGTGCTGTGACAACAAATACCGAAGAAAGAGCAACAAAATGAAGGGTCTTGCGTTTGCTCATTCGGTCCTGTGCAAATGGGTGCCTCTCTCGATTGTGGCAATGAGTAGAGACAATTTGTTGGTGCATTGCGCCTAATGTCAACAGCAGTGTCACCACGATCACGAGAAGTGAATAACGGAGAGAGCGACGGTCAAGGAGGCGACGGAGGACATTTTCGTACCCAAGAACACCATGGCGCATCTTCTGCGTTCGTCCATCATCAGGATTAAGAGCCGCGTCATCGAGTTAAGAGAAAGTTCTATCGAGTAAGGTTCGTGTATCGACACAACAGTTGATTCTGTCTTGATTCGAAAGACTATCACCGATCTATCTCTCCCTCTAAAGTGTCTCACCGGATCTGTCTCCGAGTCATGCGCTAGAAGTACTCAGAGATCTTTCTAGACCAGGAAATCGCACTCCCAGACAGCATAGAGTCAGTTGTGCCAGTGCCTGATCGTGGTCAAGTAGGGGTCCATCCACTGGAGCGGGGCTTTCGTGAACATGGAGGTTTTTATGGGCACCAGAGCATTCCTGCAGATCACAAGTAGGCCTGACGCTTCTACAGATGGGTTCGATCTCGAACCCATCTGAACTGGGAGGTATCGGTGCTGCTCCCCAAGAAGGTCCTACACCTAGACAGAGTGTGCAGGATTGATGCACACTACAGGAGTACATAGGGAAAGAACTTCTGTCTGAAGAAGTTGGGGAGCGTGAATGATAATTTGTCAGGAAGTAGACGACTGAAGTGCATCTAACCTCTCCCCTCGATGAAGTTAATAATTGTTTCTACTCTTTCCCCTGTGTGTTACACGCGAAGCCATAAGAACATTATGACATCAATATGTCCACGCATGGAGGTATTTCTATCATAGAAGAACGCAGTCGGCAACTGCTCGCACCGACAGTCTGCATGGACATGACGGGAAGATCCTCGTGTGCCTATTGTTTCTCAGAAGTCAGTGTCCACTCTGCGGAAAAATGTGACGTTATCTCTGACGAGTAAACATAAGCAATCTACTCTTTCCGAATAAACATTGCATAGATATTTCCGCACATTGTTTGAGAGCGCATAGGAGCAAAGGTATGAGGGTCTAGGCATGTTCAAGTGGGAGAGAGCACGCTCTAGTGAACTAGACGAGTAAGAGTAGTTTCCTACTGGTCAACTGTTCCTATCTTCAAAGCAGACGAAAAGAACAACATGGAGGCCACTTCTCGTGCTTGCAAAAGCTCCGCTGCGTTGAGGGCATCTGCCATCAACCTGAATTCTCAGCACGCCAGAATCTGCCAGAGGTCTTTTTCATGTGTGATTATGACTGGGTATCTTAGGAGCCACAGCCTCCACCAATTGAGTCTAAGTATTCCCAAAACAGTGAGAGAGAGATAGCGATTAGTAGTTGAGTACTTTTCTCTCTACAACGAACTGCTTCACTCCTCTAATCTGCTCCCTTCAATCTGCGGTCGCATACTCTGTAACGAGGAGGTGGGAAGCAAGTTGGGCCTGGATAAATGGCGTGCATCAGCAGCTTTTCCGATAGATCTTATGATGCTGCAAGACGACCAGGACTTGAAATCGCGGGACAAGGCGATAGTTGCACTGGCAAGGACGCATGAGGTGGAGATTGGGAACAATAGTAATGAGGGTGATGGAGCAGCAGAGGTGACTGTAGTAGGAAACACGCAGTCGAGTAGCAGCAGTAGTTCTAGCAGCCGACCATCTTCTAGAGCAAGACCTGTTCCACTCAGCCTGACAGCACGACAGGGAACCAATATGGCCACAACGACCTTGGCTAGTGGTAGTCGCAAAGTGCCTCTAGTCTTTTGTCTAGCGGCTCTGTCTTTAGACCGCCATAATCGTAGATTTTGGCACGAGCAGGCAAGACGGTTAGTAGACTGCGTTGCTCAGGAGACACTCAGTGGTTCGGCGTTGGAGATGAAGCAGAATCTGCACGCAGACTCCACTGGTTCTGATAGAAAACGAGGTTTACTCCTCATGGCACATCATGACTACCAAGATGATCCTCGTGGACGAGAAGATGGGACAGAAGAAGCATCTCATGAGGCCTCTACGAAAGCTCAACAGGATGGATCAGAAAGCAACAATTCAGGGGTATCATCTTCTACAGTTGTTGATCCAGATCGTTCTGCTCTGGAAGTTGGTGGTCATAGGTTATTAACGACGGTGTGGAGCTGCGTCATCAGACGACCTTTGTTGAGTATTCTTGCATCGGAAATGAGAAGTCTGCTGTCGTTTCGACGACTTGGTGGATCCTCATCAACTCATGCTACAACTAGGGAAGAAGTTACAGGCTCAAGTGCTGCTTGTTCTGTAGTAGAAGTTACAGGAATGTTACCTTTTCGGCAACTTGTTTGTGCCCCTTCGAGGCCTTCGGCATCTTCGTCAGGGAGTCAGGAAAAAGGGCAGCAAGATAATCCTGCGAAGACCGGAAGAAGAACACTGAACAGGATACACCGACTCTTGGAGGAAACAGGGAGTTGGAGTGGGCGTTTACTCCTAGATGCTAGGGACCCTCTAATGATTATGGTTGAGTTGAACATCTTGAAAATGACTCATCTTCATTCTTCAGGCGAGGAAGCTGGTCATACGTTCGTAGCTTAGAAGAAGAGAGCGATTCTTATGCGAAAAATTTTTGTAAGCAGCTACAGCATAATTTTTTCTTCTAATGCAAGAACACTGCAAGCAACCCCTGGCGTCACTATGCGACCAGAAAATATAGCGATAACGGGACGTCCATACGGGCTGTCCAAAGAGGAGCAAGGAGAAATACTGGCTCGACCACTCACACTACCGAAAGAAATTTTGCGTTTTGATACAAGAAAGATTGTGCAAATATCATGATGATCATGAAATGTTGCGCGCATACTAACTTCTGATGGGGGCCAATAGATGCTTGGTCTTCGGTGGATCCCCACGGGGGATACCGAAACAACGATGCAGGACTTTGCGGCCGCAAGCGCGCCGTGTTCGTCCTGTGAACTTCTAATAGCATCGAGTGAAGATTCATGCGTGTGAGGAGGGCGGAGACGGGAGAGACCTGTCATGAGCTAGAAGAGCGTGACATTGACGAGAGCAAAATGAAGATCTATTCGGATTGGAATGCGTGGATCCTCCTCGCTACTAGCATGAACTTTCTGTGTCGCAATACAATTCAGATTGAAGGACTATCAACATGGTTCTAGGACGAAAACGGCGCCTGGCAACAGGTGCCGTTTTTGGTGCTGTTTTGGCGTATGCCCAGTCTGCGCCACCAGCGACCGCGACGGAGGTGCGCACAGAAAGATTGGTCGAAACCATCAATGACACAGCGAAGCAGACTAGGTCTTTAACTATGATGAGTCATGGTACTACATCAAGAGGTTTTTTTAACTTATTCTTTTCAACATAGGGCTAGTGGAACTTGAACTTCCATATTTAGAAGCGACTTTCTTACTGCTTCTTGAATAGTTTTCCTATAGCTCGTCTCTACAGAAATCAAACCACTTTCCACTTCCACCGCCACTCCAGGTCCATGCTCCAATCGCTCCTACTCGCGAATTCGCAGAGTATGTTTTCCGTCTCCAATATGCAGAAGGCATTGGCAGGTATGCGCAAGCAGCTAGCTTTGCACGACAAAAATCTCGCTAAGTGCGAGTCTGAACTCTCAGAGTTCAAATCTGCGACTAAATACAGCCAGCAGACTTGGGCTGCGCAGCACCAAATCAACACTGTCGATGAAGCGGCATTGCTGCAGACGGGTCAGTCGATGGGAGAGGGGGACATTTAAGGCCTGTATGTACTAGATGTAAGGTATTGTTCTCACGTCATCATGCTAAAAATGTCCTTATCTTCTGATGCTATGAAAACAGCCTTCCTCCCTAACCTAACGCCTATACTCCGATGATGATGCTGCTCTCTCTAACCCCCGGCTTCCTTCGTCTCTACCATGGAGCAATCGTTGAAAAAGGAGATGGCCTCTTTGCAGAGAAACCGCGTCGATCTCGTCTCCAGTTGGAGAACGGTCGCTGGTAGTGGTCACAATTCGCTGATTCAGGACTGGAAGATGAAGAAGGCAGCTTCCTTGTTGCAGAAGTTATGATGAACGTTCATGGTCCTGTCGCACGTCCTCTGTAAGGTGTAAACTAGTACTAGTACTAGTGCTTTTGAAGCAATTTCCAATTATCTCCATGCAGTTTTAGTTTTACAGGTTGAAACCGATTTCATAGTAAAAATAGATCGTCACATCTTTCTCCTGACTTCAAATGTGGTGAAGATGTTTAGCAACTCGCTTGTCGGTCTCATCCATCCTTTCATACCCCAAAGCTGCGGTGGTACACGCTGGCGGATCCAACGGTGTGCCGGTTATGACAGCAGCCGAGCGCATGGCTGAGCATGCGGCTTTCGTCAACGGGGATGACGAGTAGATGAAGTCAATGTAGTACGAGTAGATGAAGTTAGTGTAGTATGGAGTCATCATGTGAAGTATTAGAACTTTTGTTTTCCGAGTGCTGTTAGAAAGAGATCGATATTTTGTTTTCAAAGTAAAAGAGGAAGGAAAAGACCTTAGACATTGAACGAACGACTTCCGAGAGTTGCGCAGGTGATGTACTAATTTGACATCAGAGTTGCAGAGGAGATGAGCTGATGCACAGATTGTGTTCTGGAATACTGAACAAGGACTGTCTATCACAGGTACTCGTTCAGAGAGTGAAAGAACAGGAGAGGTAGAAAGGGAAGATAGCAAGACTGCAGTGATTTGAAGAAGAAGTGTTCTGGCGGTGCCGGTTATCTGCAGCTCCCCAACATGCTGTGCTGCCTGTCCGAGATCACGTCAGATTTGCTGTCTTGTTCCTCTGTGCCTGCCAGGTCATAACATTCTCAATCACAAGCACCTACTCATTCTTCTGTCATTTAGGGGCAACTTTAATTTAGCACCAGAGTTCACAAGCAATCGGAGGAAGCCATTGGCTCTTTCAGCCATATTGATTTTGAACTCTCTCCGAGCACAAAGGCCCAGAGTATCGTTCTCTTCGTCTCGCGTGGGTCTCTGACTCCGTTGCAGCGGCATAGGAGTCTTCTCTGCCAGAAGGAGCTGCACACACGACATATATGCACGAAAAGGAGCCTTTTCGATCATGCCAAATAAAAAACCAGCAGAAGCGATCATGAAAAGTAAACCAGCAGAAGCGATCATGAAAAGTAAACCAGCAGAAGCGATCATAAAAAGTAAACCAGCAGAAGCGATCATGAAAAGTAAAGCTCCAGCAGAACCCGAGTACTTCAGCTTTGGGCAAGTGCCCTTTGCCGTTTCCCGGTTGCTGGCCATATGCTTCTTCTTGGCGAATGCCTCCGTTCTAGCACATGTGGACGCGTTTTTTGGCTGTGAGGCCTTGTTGGACCTGCCTTTGAATGGGAAGGGATGGATGAAGGATTTGTTGGTACTTAGACATTCTTTTTTCTAGTAGGATAGCAGTATTATATCCTAGCGGATGTACACGGCCCTTCAGCGGCAGTGATCGGTCTAGTTTGCGTAGATTCGTGTTGGCTCTTCAGCAGCCGCGTATGTCTGCCAGTTTTTCTGGTAGGCCCACACCTTTCCTAACCTTTTGCTTCGACCTGGTGTTGGGATGAAGCATATGAAGTCGTTACAACCCATGATAATATTCACGCTTCAGCTTACCTAAAAGTGAATTTCAGTTTCTTGCATAAAACGTTCCAAACCAAAACATCAGATCGTAGGACTGTGGGTCTCGTGGACTGCGAATGGTTTGCTTGCAGTGGCCTGGCATTGGATTGACGCGCATGCCCGAACAATTTTAGGTGCGTCTGCTTTCTTCTATTAAGGGTCGCCACATTGCATCCCGCACTACCATTCGTGACGACTGGTCTCTTCCAACTGGTCACTTCTGATGAGCTGAAAGATGCAATGGCGCAGTCTCTAACTTTACCTTGGTTTAAACTATCTCGCGGGTCCGGACCTGTTCCTGCGTGATTACGATATGCTACTTGTCGAAGCCACCCTTGTTTTCGCTTGTTTGGGATATGACACGTTTGCATGTCAAGGCATGCTGATGGCGCTATTCCGCTTCTGCTTTCAATTTGCGGTACAACTACAATGGATTGGCTTTATTCTTTTTGATATGCCAGCTTATGCATATGAAGAAAACTCAGATAGCAACAACCTCGTCCACACTCTCTAAAACACCTTATCTTCTATTTGTAGTCCACTATCTAACAAATTCAAATAAATACCCACGCACAGGCCACAGCGCTCTACGGTTTGCACGACATGCGGATGGCGTGCTTGGGTCTTTGGAGTGGTAAGTGGCTTGCACACGGGTATGAATTTGCGGAGTCTGGAACTTTGGTCTGGTATCTTCGCTACTATTCCTTCCCCGGCGTTTGTCGTGGCCTCACCTGGTGCTTTCTTTTGGGTTTTCTGGTATGTCCGGGCGTCCTCATCCTACTGGGACCCGGAGGTCAAGCGGGATGTGTTTATGGCGAGATGTATTCGCTCTTGTCTTTCAGGCGGAAGTACTTCTTGAGTATTCAGATGAACGAAATAACCAATTGATTCACTTTCGCATATAGGTGTCGTGACAGCATATTTACGTTTGTAAAAATATGTGAAGAACAAGATTGCCGCATCAATCTCGTACTGCAGTATCAAATTTGTATTCTACTTTCAAAACCTCTTCATAACCCCAGTCGCCAGGCTTTACTTGGTGGTGTCTTCGTCGCGGGTTTTCTCTACTTTGTGGCGTTCCAGACGTTCGGTTGGATGCCTTTGTTGTTGTTGGCTATCCTTGCTGGTGCGGCAGAGCGAAATTGGCTGTTTTCGCTTTCACTGTTAAAGTCTATGGGGTACAAAGCAACTTCAGTGGATGAGAGCGAAGAGGCAGTCAGACGGGCAGAGGATGATGTAGCGGGTGTTTTTGTCGCAGGAGTAGGTGTTTTGGCTGTGTTTGCGTTTGGTTGCGTGACAGAGTTCGGCTTGTTGGACCTGGTGGAGAACAGAATGGAATTGCGCGACTTCATTTTGACACCGATACTGTACATCACCTGCTTAGCTGCAGTGGTGCGCCTGGGACGGAGTTTGAAGTTATTGTTGGTGTATTTTGCAAACCACAAAACCTTGCTTGATAGTGGTTCAGCAAGAGAGTTAGCTTGAACTCCAAGTTCTTTGTTAGTGTATTTCCTAAGTCAAACTAGATCTAGTATTTGGTCTCTTTGAAGATTTATCACCATAATTTGGTCTCCTTGATGAAGATCTATCACCTCTGGCCTCTAATCCGCTCCGTCAAAACAATGTCCCAAGCGGGAAAATGCGTCTTGTTACTCCTCTATATTGCCGCAACGGGCGGGAGCTACATTGGTGCGTTTTATTTGAGGAGCACTGAAAAGCGAATTATGCCGCGTTTCGGAGGCGATCTTCCCTACGATGCCTTAGAATCCGGCACTCTTCGTGCAGCACCCTCAAGACCGCGCCTGGTGAACAATCGGATCATGACTATGGCTGACAACTGATAGTCATCTCCGATTAATAGTCGTTGCTAATCTTAAAGTTCATTACTCATCTTAAAGTGGTCCTATGCAGCTGTTTCCTTAGGAACTCCATCTCTAACAACCGCACTCCCTCCTCCGATTCCAAAGCGAGCGAAATTACACCTTTAGTTGAGAAGTTTCGCGCAGCTGCGGAGATTGCGGGAAAGATCACGCCAGTCTATGGTAAGGATTTCTTTTGCCCGAACTCGGTTTATGTTCCAGCAAATGCGCAGAAGGGTCTGGTGGACGTCGATGAAGCTAGAAAAAGACCACCAGCTTCTTCATCTTCGGGTGCTGGTGGGAGTGGGAGTAAGTTAAGGACAATGTTGAACAATTAGGTAGTTGCGTGTTAACAGTGCTCCTGAAGTGGTGAACGGTACTATTGTTCGGTACGAAAATAGAAATATTCAACATATATAGTAGGATTTTTGGCTTGCAGAAGTTTTCTCTAATCCTCGGATCCTCTAGTAAAACGTCTAGTCAGGTAGCATCATCTTCCGAAGTCAGGAGGACTATAGATGCCCCGGTAGTTCAGGGAATCCTAGGGGAGCATGGTGGAAGGGAATGTCCAGGTGGAATAATATTGTGGGAGGGATGAATATCCAGGTGGAATAATATCGTGGGAGGGATGAATATCCAGGTGGAATCTCCTCTCACCAGGTGGAATGATATGTGAGAGGATTCCCCTTCTAGGGGATTCCCGGGAGACATGTTGTGAGGATTTTCTCTAATCCTCGGATCCTCTAGTAAAACGTCTAGTCCCACGGGTGCAACGGCAGGAGCGATGCCTACTGGTGGATCCTCGGTTCATGCAGCAAGACTGCCAGCTTCGAGTGAGGTAATGGAACGAGCTGCGGAACAAGCCGGCAGACAACAGGAACAAGCGGGGGAACAAGCTACTCGACAAGAAAGTTAAGGCTCTATACCATTCATTTCTACAAGGCGCGTCTCCCTGTTGCTATTTGCCGCTCAGGATTGTGAGAGATTATGGAGGCAAGAGATGAATTGTTTTGAGCTCTAACAAAGAGAAGCTACTCCTGGTGAGAAAGCTGCCATGATTCAAGGAGTGGCAGCACAATTGTCGCGGGAATACACAGGTGGCGCAAGCCGGAGTGAGGGACCCAAAACGACGGAGACTGAAGGTATGTTGATGACAGATATTCAGACTGGTCCTTCTCTGATGAGAAGAAGTTGCGCCCTCTCGTTCACAAATAATAACACAGGATCCGACTTCTTCCTTCCTGTATTCCACATTAAAGAAAATTTCTGTATTCCGCCTGAAAGAAATTTTCTGTATTCCACCCCAAAGCACTTGCAAAGAAGCAAAACAATCTTAGCCTCCTTCATATCCAAAACCGATGGTGCGGTGGTGAAATCTCCTTTGAGGAAACACTTGGTCCCAGTTGTATGGAGACAGGATTGGGATGCTACGGAGAAACAATGGAAACGGGAGAAGAAAATCGGACCACTTCTGAGACATAGGTTATGAGGACAATTTCAATTTGTTTGTTGAGTTGCAATTCATTTTCATCTAGTTCATTCCCGTAGGTCCTACTCTGAGCCTACGTAAGCCCTAAAACGGCTGCTCCTCCTAAGCACTGGTCGTCGTATCCCTGGGATCCCATGAACCACATTTAATGAAACTTTCATTCCCTTGTTGTTCCCTTTTCATACGCTATGGAAGAAGAAGAGGAGCGACCGTGGTTCGCATTCGCGCCTGTGGCTAACCGACTAGAAAACCGATTGCACCACTTAGCCTCGCGCAGTATTAGCATGTCGTGGACCGATCAAAATTATCCGAAAGATTGGCCATTGTGGATGAAAAGGTCTAGTGTTTTTTGTGTACCAGCTAGACTTGTTTTGACACTAGGGTGGATAAAATCAGTTTTAGTTTTTTCCTCCCACTTCTGACATCACTATTCCAAAATCTTTTCAGGCTGGTCGTTCTTTTGGGTCGCAAAAAGCGAAGCGTGTGGTCTTTGCTAAGAGGCGAAATTAGTGAGCTGACCAAACAGGAAGAACAGTTACGAGACTTTAGAAGTCGAATCAAAGCTACACGCATTTGAATTAGACTCATCAATGTGCCTCTCTCTCACCCTCGCTCAACAAGCTCAAGAACAACCCCAAACTTGTTGCGTTACTCTCTAACCCGCCAAGGACTAGACGCTGGCACATCTCGGCTTTTCGGAGAATGGGCATTGCAGACGAGGGATTTGGAGTACGATCTGAGAAGTAACCGCTGGTGGGATATCATGTCTCATACGCCACCCAGATTGATGGGCCCGCTTGTCCTCGTAACCGACACAAACGCCTTGGAATGGGATTCGAAGTGTACGGAAGGAGCAGAAGGATTATGAAAAAGTTTAATATAACATGTTTTATGAAAAATAGAGAGAAAGAGGTTTGTTGTAACTCTTGCCTCTATCCCTTGCAGATAGAAGTACTTGAATATGATTAGATCGCTCAGTGGTAGTTTCCACTGATTTTGAACCATAGCGTTTAGTGTCTGCTTACGACAGAGACAAAGTCTAGCTCTCCACCTCTAGCTATCTATCTATCTCTCTATCTATCAGCCTGCCTACTTGCCTATCTATCTATCTATCTTTCTATCTATTCGTTCTCTAACTCCCGGCTCCGCTCTGTTTTCGCTGATGACGGTGGTTGATCTCACGGGCTTCGGCTATGGTCCGGTCGTGGTGCCGTGGGCCAACTCATGGTGGTTTTTGGCAGCAATGTTCATCATGAAGAGTATCTCACACGGTATGACGGTGGAAAAGAAGCGCCGACCAACGTCTAAAAAGTCGGAGAGGTCGGAGAAGAAGAAAGATAAGTGAAAAGGAGAGCGGATTATGAGTGAAAAGGAAAAAGGATCATAAGTAGGAAAGTGATGGACAAGTAAGATGGAGGACGGGAAGGCGGATGATTAGGATGAAGGATAATTACAATGAAGAAGAAGTGAAACTAAGTTTCTACGGCTTGTATCTTCGGCAAGACGTCAGAAGAACGACAAGTATGTAAAAAAAGCGAAGCATATCAAGCGAAGCATATCGAGTTTTTACCACTCAATGTCAATACCCGTACCCTCGAATACTTGCTGTCTACGATGACTTGTATCTAAGATACTTCGTTGTAACTGGATGGGGTATCATCTATTGAAGGCCACGTGCATACCGTTTTCCAGATTTATAGCAACGATATTTTGCCGAGCAACCTCTGTTCGAATAGAGAGAAGCAGAACTCAACCAGAACTCAATATGACTCCATGTATATTTCAAAACGAGAAGGAGAAAGGTTTTTTTTGATCATTCCAAAGAGAATAGATCTCAATATGATACTAGAAAATAGCAACAAGGACCTCTGTTTTATTGTTTGTGTCTTCGAAGTTTGAATTTTAGTCTTACTCCCTCCCGCTGCGCCTCTGTGATCGCTCAGAGTTCAGGGGCTTCTGTTCGCGGAGAACGTTAACTAAAACAAGTCAAGAAAAAATCCGTGCGGCAGTCTGCACTGAATTCTGTGCGAGATTAATTGCATTGCATTGCATTGTAAGCGCAAGAGGAATCATTTCTCTATACGTTGGTGCACTTCTTGAGAGTGAAGAGGCAAGCACACGACTGATCACACATCAGGAAGATTAAGGAAAGCGAAAATTACCTAGTAGAAGACGAAAAACCGTAAAAATAGGCAATAATGAGTGCGTAGTGTAGAATCTTTTCTGAGGGCGCAGAGCATCGCATAGTGGTCGAGGTGCTGGCATGCTAGCCAGTGTTAGACTCCATGGAATGGAATAGAATGGAAAAGTGATATTCTCTACCTAGTGCGTACACGTTGCCAGCAGTCCAAGATGAGCAGTTTCCCTGTGGAGTACCAGGATTGGATCCTCCTGATCATCACCTTCACAGCCCTTTTCACTTTCGTCTTTCCGTTCTACCTCACCGGGCTTTCGAACGCGCAGGCGAGACATTTGGGGCAATATTTATGACAGGGTGTTGACGATTGTACGTAGTCTAGTGCGACTGGGAATCTGTAATGTTTATCCATCAGATGAAGTAAGGGCAACTTCTAGGATGATTTTCCATCCAAGTACGATCCCCATCCCGCCCGTCTTCATTTCTCTTGCAACGGCGACTCTTGCTTTTCTACGCGGTCGGGACGGCATGCAATGTTACCTTCCTTATCCTCGTTTTAGCCATTCTTCCAGACTGTTAAGGCTATTTAGTAACTTTTGACCGTACAGAAGAAGTGTGCATGCTTTCCGGATGAGTCTCTACTGAGAGAGATCGAAAACTGAAGGGATTCTTCTCCTGCGACTACAGATTGACCAATGGCAAGTGGTGGAAACATACAACCCTCCTCTAATACTCGGATCTTCACAGTTACCTTGAACACATAGGCATCGGCATTGAGGAGGTGATGAGCCATCTGAACGTAATGGCATCAAGCGGACTCGTCCTTTTTCTGTTTTTCATCATTTTCGCGTTGAAAGACAGGATTAAGATCCTTTTGGGCATAGAAAACCAACCATTATTCAGGTACTAATATTTTTGATAGTATCACTCACACTCGTATTATAGGGTGGTTGTTACATTTTTGTATCTAAGAAAGAAGTACTCGCATCTGGCAGGAAACAGGATGATGACAAAAAAGGAACTCGAGTACTTACTTAGTTTTAAACTATGCTAGTTTTAGTGTTAGTTATAACTAAGTTATTATGCATATATGGCACCAGTGACTCCTTAGAGGACCTTCGAACCAATTCAGCCACTCTCCAACTACCAGGATCTCTTTCAAAGACTGTTGTGGTTTGGGTGGCTCTGACAAGGCGATCGAGGTATACGTCTACAAAGTCGAGGAATTAGGCGCAGGCAGTATAATGCGAGCAAACGATCTGTTTATCGAATGTGCATTGGGAAGCAACGAAACTGTCCGGACACGAGTGCACAAGGGAGCAGGGAGTGGAGCGGTATATTTAATGTAAGTATGTTTTATATAATGGATGTTTCTTCGATTTGGGTGGTGCTGATTGTGTTTGTATATTTATTGTAAGTATGTTTCTTCATTCATTCATTCATTTACCTGTTCTGGAGGTATCTTTTGGCGCATGAGCGACTTCTAGCTCTGTGTTCTAATATTTTCTCGAAAATGACGAATACAACTTTCCGTCATTACGCTAACAACGTGGTAATCTTTTCTTTTACCAAACTATAGCAGACTGTAGTTTTTAGCACGCATGGAGTGCAGAGGACCCATAAGTGGCGCAAGAAGCGCCGCCTTTGGCTCCATGCGATCCATGCACTTCGTGCCAGTCGAGCGGTGGAACCTTATAAATCATTCTGCTATATATAATAGAGTTGCTTCCACACCAACCCCCTGGACCCCTCTTTCCAGATGATAAAGGAGTACATGCAATTGAATTTCGATCCTGGGGAGGAAGAGGACAAGCTCTTTGTCTACTGCAGACACCAAGACTTGCTGTCTAGCGCAACTATCGGGACGTTGGAGCTGAGTACAAACGACGTGAAGCAGATCATCGAGGTCGATGATATACAGGAATTCAGATTATGCTGGGAGATAGAAGTCCTGGAAGTATTTAGACGTAGGTATAGATGAAATTCGTTGTTTTTGGAAGATATGAGTACCTTACCGGTCGATCGCCGTATCTTCATAGAAATAAAGTATAGGTGGAGGAGCTACAGCTACTTCCAACTACTTCCGACTTTAATCCCTTTTTTAGCAACCAAAGGGAAGACTCTGCTCTAACGTGGCTATTCCCGCAAGGCAAGATATCGATGTCCATCGGCTATGTGGATACTGCCGAAGTAGAAGCAGAAGACGGCGGACCGGCGCCTAGTGGATGGAGAAAATTGTTGAATACGTGCTGAAGTTACTGGTCATTTTTGAAGTGAAGGCAAAATGATTGTTGTGATGCAGCGAACAACTTGTCTCTTGGTCATCACTGCAGCGAACAACATGTCTGAGATTTTCTTTTCCCATGATATTTTGATGAGCGCGCATGCGAATCATATTTTGATGAGCGGGTTGCGATGCTTGATGCAATCAAAAAGAATCCTTTTATTCCACCAGACTCAGAAAATGTATACCAAGCAGGTGAAGACTTCTGCTAGAATATCTACATCAAGGAGTCCTGTGTTGGCGAACAATGCAGCGTAGTTACGACAGAGACTCTTGTGACTGAGTACAAATGGTGTTCGCACGGATCCTTTCTCAGCGAAAGCACGAATCCAATTGAAAAGATCTTCAAGGAGAATCAAAACAGAAGTGCATACCTGAACAGCGGCAGTAGTCGCTACTGATGAGGGATCATAAAATCTTCTCCGTCACTGCTTCGTTTCAAAATGGCCATTGAGTGACAAAAATATCCAGGCTTAGTTTTGAGTTGTGCTTAGTTTTGAGCTGTTTCCTGTTCTGAAAAAAGGATTGTGAGTATCACAACTGCAACTGTAGTGACAAAAGATTGTTGTGCTCACTGATTCAACAATTGGCTTCAACAATTGGTTTCAACAATTGGTTTCAACAACTGGTTAGGCCAGTGGCATTACAGCAGGTGGGCAGATGTCTAGAGGCATCTGCAATCCTGTTTAGCGTCCTCTAGAACATGACGGACGATAGGTCTAGGTGGAAGACGAAACGAAGAGGATAGAAAGATGATCGATGATAATCGGAAGATAGGCATGGGCCTTTGTGCCCTTGGCCTGGTACTATCTCATTCTACATAGGAGTAAGTATTTAGTTTAGTAAGAAATGTGTGGTGTAGGCTAGTCAAGATATTACACACTACTCATTTCCAACTGCATCAAAACTACTACAATCTGTCTTTCCTTTTTATCTGTGTAACATCACATTGCCACCCGGTAACATCACATTTCATCAATCAACAACCTCACCACAGCTGCTGATCTTCTTGGGATGCGTATTCTTGTTCGATCGGGCGCTTCTAACACTGGGCAACCTGGCATTTGTTGGGGGCCTGGTGTTTGTCCTAGGTCCAGAAAAAACGACGAAATATTTCGTGAAGAAAACAGTGCCCTCACTGATATTTTTCTCCGGAGTGGTCGTCATCATATATGGGTGGCCATTTGTGGGTACTAAAAGTGTTAGATTTTCTTGTTAAAGGTGGATGACAAGGACGTACGAATTCCTTTTCAGACAGCTTCTCAACTTCTTAACTGCAGGTTGAACTAGTTCTAATAACAACTTTTTTTGTTAAACAACATAGTACAAATACTTTATCACGAAACAACAAACATCAAATCATAGGTTTCTGTCTCGAGATGTATGGAGTTTGGAAGCTGTTTGCGACCTTCCTCCCCAATGTGATAGCGACGTTGAAGATGATACCTGGAGTGGGTCAGGTCCTAGAAACGCCACCAATAAGTTACGCCTGTGACTACATAAACGATAATCGCAGACTTCCCGTATGAGGTGGAGTCCCTCGTCCCCCGGTGATGACAGACCTTTCCTCCTCTAGCATCCATCCCACACTCCTTCGAAGTTGTAATCCCCAAACCCAATGTGCTTCCCACCTCGCAGATCGTACTTTCTCATCGCACCTGTGTCAGCTGTGACACCCACCTCAATTAGAAATGCTTGGCTAGTTCTAAATGCGCACAAATGATGACTTTTTTCGCTAGATGCTACGCTTTTATGTGTCCGCTGAATTGAATTTCCATCCTTTGAGGGTGGAACACGTGTTGTCATAGCTCGTAGGAGAGTAAACTAAGAGTAAAGGACTACGAAGAAGATTGTTATGAGATTGTAACGTATAAGAAAAGACGCAGAGTGAGACGAAAAAGGAGAATACTGCAGAATGAGAGACGTGATAAAGGGACCACAGGACGGTTGAAGGATGCACTACTAGAAAGAACATACTTGGAGAATTCAAATAATTTTCCCTGGTCATTCATGATAAATGAAACACCTCCACTGGTCTAACTGAAGCTCTACTTACACGAAAAAACAAACAACTTTTTAAAACATCATTTTTCGCAGTATCAGTAATTTATATGCTACGATCTATATTACCTACTCAAAAAATATCAAAGAATCTAGAAGATCAAGAAATACTTACCCACAAAATGGCGCCACATCTTCCACAATCGACGCTTGATTCCTGGAGAGCGTCGCTGGGTGCGACTGCCCATCATTCCAGCGGTACGAAGAATCCGATCGCTGCATGGCCGTCAGGAGGAGACTTCTGGGGGTGGTTTTCTCAGTACCTCCCGCAAAATGGAGTTTCGAAAACTCATGCTTCCGTCTTCGCATTCTATATTGCGATGTCCTGCGCTGGGCCACTGCTTATCAAGCTCTCCGAATCCACAAATAGGAGCTTGGACTACAATCCTGCTGCGGCGGTCTTGTGTATCGAGGTTGTAAAATTGACCGTCGCCTACGTCGCTGATATCCGGAACATACCATTCGGCTTCTTTGCCGCGACTAGTGTTGGGACGTCTGTTCCTGTTGAGAAGCAAGGTGGTGGATCGAAAGCAGATGTTGCTTGGAATCAATGGGCGCTCTACGCCGTCCCGTCGCTGCTGTATTGAGTAATGCTTTTGTTCTTTCACAATATTGAAATTTGCTTGTTTGTAGTAGAACGAAGAAACAATTGAAGAACAACGTGGACTATCTCTAGTCTAGTTCTTGGTGATAGTATAATAAGTTAGCTTGCTTTTACGACTCCTGCTTACATCAAGACACCATGACGCACTCCACAAGGTATGCCATCGTAAACAACTTGCAATTCTTCGCCATTTCCGGTCTCGGTGCTCACTATTTTGCGTTGTTTTCAACCGGTAAGATCTTCTGTGCCGCCATAGCAGCTAGGATTTTGCTCGGAAAACGCCTCAATGAAATCCAATGGACCGCACTTCTTCTGCTCGTTTGCTCACTGTGCGTGGCAAGAGAGGGAAGAACGCCAAGACCCGTAACTGTAACATCTTCAAGCGGAAATGTTGTGGGAACTGCTTCAACGGAAACTAGTAACCCTTTTGTGAACCCTGATGTAGCACAACCCAGTCCCCTTTCTTCTTCTTCGGGCGATATGCAGCAGGTCAAACCGGGGGAAACGGTTGCGTCCATGGACGACGTGCATCATCACAGCTCCACACTAGAGGATCGCGGATTGAGATTCGCGTTCGGTTTTGCCTGCGTTTGTGTCACCTGTGTGCTTTCGGGCCTAACCGGTGTTGTCAATGTTAAGCAATGAAAGCAGGTTAGTTAGTTTTAGTAGAGCATGATGAGGCACAACAGACACCCTAACCCTAAAGTTAGTTTCAGTAGAGCATGATGAGGCACAGCAGACACCCTAACCCTAAGCCCTTCTCGTGGGTGCACTCTCTCGTGATGTGCACTCATGACGCAGACTTGCCTAGGCGTGTCGCTGCAACCACATCTGTTTCACCTGTAAAAAAAGATACATATTTATATACCACTTACCTCTAACACCAAGTTCTTGTTGAAACGAATCGACGGACGACATTCGCTGTGGCGCAAATCCATGTGGACCTATCAGTGGGGATGTGTCTTCAACGCTGTTGCGTGCTTCGTTTTCCTGAATTCGGAACGTGGCCTCTTCGACGGATTCAGTCTGCCTGTGATGCTGTATATTGTGCTGGTATGATGTATATTGTGCTGTTTTTACAAGGACGAGATGTAGTAAGTAGAAATTAGCCAAACTCTAGTATATAATGACGACTTGAATTGATATACGTAACTGGATCATTGTTTTCAAGTAGTTCTTGATTAGCAGCTGACAACTACTGCATCTACATACTACACTTTGTTCTAACACGAAAAGCCGGCGAAGGCCTTGGTGCGGGTTTCCTCCTTTCTTTCTTCGATACTATCGTGAAGGGCTTTGCGAGTAGCTTGCAAGTGCTGGTGGTTTCCCTGTTGAGCTGGATGCTGTTCGACGAGACCGTGTTGGATGGCAATTTCTTTCTGGCGCTGGTGATCTTCTTCGCTGCGAGCTTTTTATATTCCGGAAGACATAATGAGGACATAATGAGGGGGCACAGCAATCAGCATTCTGCTGGAGTAGAGATGAAAAATGGTAGTAATGCAGGAGCAAATCTCCGTGGTAGAACGAGTAGCTCTTCTACAAATTTTGGCGCCGGAGGACGCGCGTCTGGGTCAACAAGTAGTAGTAGTAGTCTTCGAGGTGCTGTTACGGGTCAAACTGGTAAAGACGCTGGTGACGAAGACGGCCGTCGTGCTACTGGTCGTGCTACTTCCTTCTCCGCCGTAGGTGTGAACAGTGAAATCCAGAATAGAAACAGTGAAATCGTAGGTGTGAACAGTGATGGCACCTCAATCGGGTCATCATCTTCTTATCCGGAGAATAGATCAAGCGCAGGTACTGAAATGCAAAATCTCCGTAGAAGTACAGGGACCAGTAGTGGAAGAGAATCTTCTGGTGGAGTTCATGAAGAAAAGCCAGATCTTAGATTCGACAATATTTCCAGCACTGTTGCCGAAGATAGTACAGTGGTTTTAGTCAACATGCAAGAGGACTTGCCTGCGTCCGGTGCTGATATAATACCAAGCTTGCCTCCCTCTAGGAGTGCGGAACTAGTACGGAGCACCACGAGTAGAGCAGCCGATATCATGAAGAAGAAAAAGAGGAGAGACTTAGACACTAGCAAAGGAGACGCGGAGCTTTTCGCAGAGTTCTTTGCAGAGGACGCGGCTGGGGAAGAGGATCCAAACTCTGTGATCCACCTACCGAATTTCGGTGCTTCCTTGGGGCCTGATGAAGAGAACTACGTCGATAATGATGTGGATGTTGTTGATAGGGTTTGAGAGGTCATCATGAACGATGGCAACAGGGACAACAGCATGCATGGCTGCCTCTTTCTAGATAGAGTCACTGGGCAGTCGTGTGCCGGAAGCAAATGGGCTTGTCGTGCATTTGGAGTTTTGTTGAACTCAGTTAGCTTTATTGATTTACAGCTGTCATGGTCAAGTACGTATCTTATCCACTGTCACTGTAAGTGGATGGATCTTTTGAAATCTCTGTCATGATCATCTGAGTTGATCTAATTGTACATACTTATTGGTGAAAACTAGGCACCAAATGCTATACAGAATGATGCTGTGGCCGAAGAATGGAAGACAACAACCGAAAATCGCCCAACAACAAGAAAAACCGCCCTTTCCGGAAAAAGGTGAAATGGTTGATACGTTGAAATCTCATGAACTTACAAACACATGGTCAGTATGAGAAACTTCTTGGTAATGACTTACAAATCTAATTCTTGGTAATGACTTACAAACACATGGTCAGAATGCGATAATGGCCGTAGTCGCCACCACGCGGCTGCGGCTGCGTATCTTTGCGGCGTTATGCCTGCTTGGGAATGTTGCCGGTACGTACATTACAGTTTGTTTTCTCTACTTTTTGGAGTAGTCGAGTTTTTGTTTTTCGCCATTCTGACTAAGTACTAGTGTCTCAATTTTTTCTTCAAACTGACACTTACAGGAGGATTTGTCTACCTTTCCTTACGCTACCTTCTTCTTCTTTCCCTACACTACGACAGTTGTTCTTGACAAACCAAAACAAAGGTGTCGCTCTCTTCGGCTCCCTCGAGGCGGGTTTTGCACGTTTATTCGGCAGTACTACAACTGAATCGCTATTTATTCCGAGTTCGCTTCTGAAACGGCTGGAGCATCTGCGCCAGGATGGTGACCAAACTGCTATTCAATGGATGAAGTCCGCGTATGAAGGAGGTTCCCCGGCTAAAGATCCTATCGTTATGGATATATCGTTTTTTCAATTTCATCATATAATTTCATCATATAACTTCTTCGCACATATGATTTCATCATATAAAAATGTGAGTCAACCACTCTTCGAGACTGCACGATGATGAAATGAATCGACACTGCGACCTCTAACTTTCACCTTTTTCTGGAAAAGGGCCTACTCGACCCCGCGAATGTACCAGGGAGACGCAGAGATGAGAAAAATATAGATGCTGCGCCCAACACCAACCTTATGAACAGACAAATTGAAAAGCAGATCCATATTTTTTTGTAGATACTGAGATGCTACTGCTGCATCTAGTATACTGTGAGATTCTAATAGATGCATCTGGTTTCTTTTTCGATGATTCCGCATGTCATCTTCAGACCTCATCTAAATCCTTTGGAGCGCCAAGTTCGAGTTCGACTGGCATGACGATTACTCTTAGCAACGTTAAGGCTCTTAATACCTACACAGAGAATTAAGTACTCTCAGTAATGATAAGGCTGTAAACTACACAGAGAACTTCCATGTAATATAGTTTCTTACAGGCAATCGAGTAAGGATCGCAACACGAAGCGGACACGTGACATTTCTGCTCGATCTCTCGCACTCTTTTCTCTGCTTCCCCAAAAGCTCACTTAGCAGTTTATCGCTGTATATACGTACCAACAAATGAACACTGAATCATCTTCAAGGTGAATAAGTCACATTGAAGTCAACAAGGCCTCAGCGTCCCTATTAGTGCTGTTGTTCTGGACTTCAAGTCTCTATTCCAGCATTTCTATCCTACTTCTAACCACTGAACAACCGTGAACAGCGACACATCAGACGCGTGGATAGTGACGATTGCGCCAGATGCCCGGTTCAACCTGCCATTGGAAGTCGCGCTTGTCCACGAAGATCCCGATCTTTCCGAACTATCATTGATATTATGACAAGACCACAAGTGTCGCTGGTTATAATGACTTCTCTCTTGTTCTAGTTGCTGTGTTGTACAGATTGGATTTGGATTTTCTTGGTTACTTAACTGCGATCATTCAATCACTTGACCAGGAAGGGTTAGACATGAAGCACATGACCATAGCCATCAATGCGACTCTAACGAAGTTTTCTCATATAAGTATCTAATATAGCCAGCTGATGGGGGTATCAGTCGTGCTTCAATTACGATTTTGCCTCCAGATTTGGACGTCGCTGAGAAGCTCCAAGAGGATGATGAGTCAACCATTTTGTTTTTTATGGCTTCTTCAGTCAGAGCTTTCGGTCTTGTTGATGTAGCTTGATTTTTGTTGAAGTCTACTTTATTTTTAAATACTAGAAACATTCTGCTTGAATAAAGATGATGGGACAGGATAACGTAGATGAGCTATTCTAGTAGTGAGCTGGTTAATACGACCATGCCTGTCATATCTATTATAGCAGTATCTAAATCTATTCTAGTACGACGTAGTGTCAGACACGAAAGTATCATATAGCAGCTTTAGCTATCTCCTCCTCTAATCTTTCTCCCGAAGGCAGCAAATATGTGACAATCAATAGTGCGGGTCTTCCGAAAGTTGTAGCTTCGATACCACCAAACTCGACGTATGACGTGGTCTCCGTAGTGCCAGCGACCGGCGGTCTACCAACCTCGATAACGATACTTTCTGTAGGAGCAGCGCAGAAAATGATACGGCTTCCGGGAATTATCTTCCATTTTGAAAGGGATCTTGGGCCACATCTGTAAGGGCAAAACAGATTTTCTGGGGCACCCCTGTGAGGGAAAAACAGACCCAAAGATGACTTTCGAGATGTATTTGAGGAAAATCTAAGAATAATAGATCCAAATGCAAGCAGTACAACTACGGTTCCTCAGACTCAGGCTAGTGGAGCAAGCACGGTTTCTCCGGTTCAAGCACCTGTCGTACCTCCTGGCAGTCGTACGGTCACAATCAATTCGGCTGGGCCTACTGCTGTAGCCGTAATCCCGGCGAATTTGACGTCAGATGTGATTGCTGTGTCGCCGGCGAGTGGTGGGCCGCCGTCGTCGATGACTCTGCTCCCCGCGCCCGCTACGACAGGTGCGCCGACAACAACGGTGCCAGCTGATGCCGCTCCTGTGGCCGGACGGGGCAGCCGTATGGCAACGATAAACTCCGCCGGGCCTGTAGCAGTAGCTGTCGTCCCACCTAACTCGACATCCGACGTCATTGCTGTGATGCCGGCAAGTGGTGGGCTGCCGTCGTCGATAACGCTGCTTCCTCCGCCAGCTACAACAGCTGCACCGGCCACGACAGTGCCAGTAGTGCCCGCGCCTGTAGCTGAGCCGGGTAGTCGTATGGTTACTATTATCTCCGCCGGCCCTATAGCAGTAGCTGTCGTCCCACCTAACTCGACGTCCGACGTCATTGCTGTGATGCCGGCAAGTGGTGGGCTGCCGTCGTCGATAACGCTGCTTCCGCCGCCAGCTACAACAGCTGCACCGGCCACGACAGTGCCAGTAGTGCCCGCGCCTGTAGCTGAGCCGGGTAGTCGAATGGTGACAATCAGCTCCGCCGGCCCTATAGCAGTAGCTGTCGTCCCACCTAACTCGACGTCCGACGTCATTGCCGTGATGCCGGCAAGTGGTGGGCTGCCGACGTCGATAACGCTGCTTCCGCCAACGACTACGACCACGACGCCCCAGCCAACAGTTCCGGCACCGGCTGCTCAACCTGGTAGCCGCATGGTGACAATCACCTCTGTGGCGCCTCTGGTAGTTGCTGTTGTCGCAGAAAACACAACGTCAGATGTGATTGCCGTTTTGCCTGCGATGGGCGGCTTACCTTCGTCGCTCACGCTCTTGCCTCCAACGACTACGACCACCACGCCGCAGCCCACAGTGCCGGCGCCAGCGGCTACACCTGGCAGCGGCATGGTCACAATCAACGCAGTAGCCGTGCCTCTCGTAGTGACGGTCGTGCCAGAAAACTCTACATTAAGGGTCATTACATATTACATCCTTTATGCATGATGAGTGGTATTGCAGTACCCACTTTTTTTAACGTCTTTGACCTCTTTGAAAAGAAGTCACTGATCATGCCCTGAAGGAAAAACGCAATGTTTGTCGTAAGCTCTAACCACGTCTGATGTGATTACCGTATTGCCACCCAAAGGCGGGCTGCCAACGTCGATAACGCTTCTGCCGGAACCAGTGACAACGACAACGCCTCCTCCAGCAGAAACGCCAGGCGTCACCCCACCTGTTCTGCCACCCGGAAGCCGTCGCGTAACGATCAATCCCGCAGCTGAATTTGTTAAGGTTACAGTGGTAGTACTTTAGAATATTTACATCGATCTGTTATAAGTACTTGGAGTACTATTAGAATGTTTACTTAGTTACATCGATCCCCTTCGTGGGAAAAGGACCAAGTGTTCATCTAACTTTGGTGTTCCATCAACCGTCGCGATCGTTCCGAACAATGCTACATCCTCGGTCATCGCTGTCTTGCCACCTGATGGGGGCGTGCCTACTTCCATCACCATTGTGGGCGCCGGTGTCGATACGGTCACATCATCAACAGCGCCAGTCACAACTTCAACAGGAATGCAAACAACAAGCAGCAGCACAACGTTGCAAGGAACTACATCGACTTCAACAGGAATGCAAACAACAAGCAGCAGCACAACGTTGCAAGGAACTACATCGACGAGCTCAGCATTCCCCTCTACTACTGCGGGACTGCTGCCTCGCATGGCGGAAGGCGGCGGTAGAAGGGTGACAATCAATGCCGTGCAGCCAGAAGGAGTTCCCAGTCTTGGCACGATTATTACGCTAGTGCCAGCCAACTCAACATCTACTTCACTGGCGATATCTCCAGCCACAGGAGGCTTACCTACGTCGATTACGTTACTGCCTTTAGCACCTACTGCGCTTACGTCACCTGCACCGATGGGCACGACTACAAGTACGTTCCCGTCTACTACCGGCGGCTTACTTCCACCTCCAGTTGCCGAAGGAGGTAGTAGAAATGTAACAATCAATGCTGCCCAACCGAAGGGAGTTCCCGCTATTGGGACGATTATTACGCTCGTCCCGGCTAACTCAACAGCGACGTCATTAGCAATATCTCCAGCCACAGGAGGCCTACCTACGTCGATTACGTTACTGCCTTTAGCACCTACTGCGCTTACGTCACCGCCACCGCTAGGCACGACTACCACGACAGGGGCACAAACAACAAGCACAAGTACCGGCGTGCAAGGAACAACACCAACAACAGGTGGGCTCTCGACTAGCACAAGCACCGGCGTGCAAGGAACAACACCAACAACAGGTGGGCTCTCGACTAGCACGACGGGGGGACAGCAGGTTAAGGCTAGCGATGGATAAGAGTCTTACAATAAAAAAAATCTACATCTACTACAATAGGCACTTACCAGACTGTTTCTCAATGTGCTCTAAGGGCCTTATTCCTCAATGTGACCTAACGGAGTAGTAGTTGACGACAAGCAGATCGGTTATTCCTAGATTAAGTAAGTACTTGTCAAATTTGCAAAAGCTTGAAATGAGCAAAAGCAACGTTGAATATCATCTGACTTTTAGGAGCTACTCTAAGCAAAGAACTTCTTCTTCGGCCTCAACTACTGGTTCAAAGGGAGGGTCAGCTACCAGTACAACTCGAGGACAGGGGATTTCGACTAGTACAACAACAGGTGCTACTGGTCCAAGCACCACACCAACGCCACCTAAAGAGGAGGCGAGGATTGCGGCAGATAAGGCTGACCCTGATGGTTCGTTGATGACCAGCCCAGCCACACAAGTGACATCATACGTCAAACATGTTAAGGCCATTTAGTGTTGATAAGTCATCTCTTTGTAGTGTTGATGTGGAGATCGATCTTATAAACGGCCATATCCTTCGGGATCTTGCCGATGATGATGATGCTGACGTGAAGAATGATCTCTAGTATCTAATAGAAGCAGAGTATTTTTGAACACTCACTCCATGGTTTGACTTTTGGTTTTTACCTTAGAAAAGGCATGCGTGTTGCAATCACATTCGTGCGAAAAAATTATTTCTATCGGCCTTGAGCACTAGCCTAAACCTCCCTCAGGGGGTCTTCATCTGCTATGTCCAAGGCGAAACTTCTAAAGATCCGAATCAGCGGTGTGGCGGAAGCAGTCCCAGTATTTTGCAGGCACTACAGCCACAAGACTCAGATGGATCAGCCTCGAGTGTCGTGCTCGACATTTATGCTTCGCAAAATTCGACTACTGAGCGTTTGACGGACCATCTGAATCGTTGCGCGACAGTATGCAGTCAAGCGACCAAGGAGAAGTGCCTGGGTTTTGTGGTGGAACCATCAGGTGTAACTGGCGACACGAATAGATGCTCATTTTAAGGCTCGCAGAGTGTCGAAATTGAACCTAGTTAGATGCTCATTTTGAGAGGGTTGAAATCGAAAGAATGAGAAGACAAACTCTAATCTCTCCGTAGCGGATCCGAGGAAGATGCCGATGGCGGTTTGGCCAAGTTAGTGGCCTCATGCGAAGATGAAAGTGGCATTCTCACGTTCATCCGAATGTCGGCTTTGATGGTGGCGTCGCCGTAGCGACTGCCGACCGGTTCATAGAAAGGGTACCAGGACCAGCGGTGAGCACAAAGTATAAAGGAGAGGGGTACCAAGCTTACAGGTACCAAACGAATAATGGCACATCCTTCGAAGGAAGGTACCAGAATCAGGTGAGGACAAAGGTGTAACAAGGTACCCACCAGAGAAGCACAAACGAGTACCTACCAGATGAATATCACGCTAAAAAACTAAATGACAGATTCTTTCATTCAGACAGTAAAGGCAGAGCATCAGCGAGGTTATTTGTTTCAGATTGTAGAGACGTGCGGATATGCAATAGCTAGATTTCGTACTAGTCCTTTTTCGAACGCCCTAGTCATTTTATTCGAAGAAAGTCGTGTGAGTCATCAAATCTAACGAATACCGGTTTCAAAAAGACGATAAAGGTAAACAGAATCGAAAGACTCATGAGTAGAAATCTAAGGACCTACTCTTCATTGAGCGCCGCATAGATAGCAGGCGCTGGAAACTGTACCAAAAAAGCTATATCTAAATTATGTAAATGTACAGAGATGAACCACTTGCTCGTACTAATGTTTATCAAAAAATCACAGTCACGACATGTTTGTTTTTGAGATTGATGTTTCAATCTTTCGACATAGATCCTCCTGTGGTGCTCGAGTGGAGTAGAGAATTTTTCCGTCCAACACCATGCATGGACGGTAACTTTCAAGAATAATGATTGTACAGCAGTGTCTCTTCTGGTGTACAGATTCAAGAATAATGTTCCAGCAGCAGATCTCTTCTGCCAGTCACGGCCAATCTAGTTTGCTGTGCAAGCACAGTTGCTGGCGATGGTGCGAACAAGCGTAGCCGGCAATGTTGAGAAACAAAATGGTGTAGAAACGTCATTCTCGTGTATCAACGGTAGCACTCCTGAATCAATTCAAATGCAAATGCAAGTGTGGGAATGATGCATGATGGTCCTCTCTCTCTCTCTCTCTCTCCATCCTTGAAGAACATGTGTGGTGTGCGATGTGTGAGACAGTAGTCGAATTGCCGCCCCCAGCATGGGGAATGAGAATCGCGACGAATGAGTGAGAGCCAGAATTCAAAAATCTGAATCTTCTATTCCTCGTCAGGATTGATCACCCACTGCCAACAATAACAAGTGTTTCACTTTCATCCATAGTCAGCATCCCGCAACTATTTTTGTACAAACCTATAGTTTCTAGCCTACTCCTTGTTACAAAATGACGGACGAGAATACGAGTCAAATTCTCCATATGGGGCTGGAGAGCCTCACTACGGATGGCAAAGCGACAGAGGACTATACCGAACAAGTAAAGGAGCTTCTGGAGAAAAAGTTGCCTCCGTTGATACAAAAAAAGCGTTTTGACGATGCGGTGGAGGAAATTCTTTTATGGTGAATGAGTTTTGAAAATGCTACTTTTTACTAGTTGATGTTGTACACTTGGATCATGGTCATACAGAGTGTGATTGAAAATTGTTGATTTTGTTTGAGTCGTGCTGCATGACGACGAGTAGATAAAGTCAGAGTAGTGAGTGTTATTCAAAATTCCTAGTCTCCACTTCCAGCACCAACATCATCACCAATATCACCACCACCATCACTACCTCTCTCTGCCTATCATCCTCACCATCATCACTACCTATCATCCTCACCATCCCTGTCCCCCTTCATTAGCAACGCTGGAGAAGAAATGCCGACAAGCATGCGACGCGGTGTCGTGTTCGAAGTTGTGCAAGCGCATTATCCTCATGTACAAGGACGATGCGAAGGACTGGCAGACCATGTTGGACTATTTCTCGATATTGACGAAGAAGCGAGGTCAATTGCGACGCGCTACTACGGATTTAGTCCTCATGGGGATGGAGTGGATCAACCAGACGCCAGCACTGGACAAAACCAAGCGAGATCAATTGATTTATGAAGTAGACTTGAACTTCTGTAGTTGTACAGAACGAGCTATATTACAGAATCAATCTCTTTAATATCCGTAGGTACTTCTCAACAATCACCACAGAGTATCAACAAATAAATAGAAATGTCCAAAAATAGCAGTATCAAAACTGGACAGATTAAATACCTGTACATACAACCTTTAGCTCCCTTACCCTGCTTTCATTTCCCGAAGGTTCTGGACCAGATTACTGAAGCAAAGATTTTTGTCGAGGTGGAGCGCGCCAGGCTAATCAAGATTATGGCTGACGACTTAGAGGCAGAAGGCAAGCTAGACGAAGCGGCTGCACTGCTTCAGGAAGTCCAGGTATTCAACAATTATCATGGCAATGGAATCGGCAAGAATTTGAGGCAGAAGCTTTTCATTTTAACATCAACGTTCCTGAGCAACACGTACTACAGTACAACAGGTGCTTACTCTTTTGTACTCGCAAACTGAATCTGACACCAGGTCGAAACCTTCGGTTCTATGGAGAAGATGGAGAAGGCGAAGTTTATCTTGAACCAAATGAGGATAATGCTCTTGCGTCGGGACTTTATTCGAGTGCAGATCGCCTCCAGGAAGATCAACGAGAAGTTCCTAGAAGCCGAGGACTTCCAAGATATTAAACTCCAGTACCAGAGCAACATGGTGCAGTATTATCTGCACGAAGAGCAGTATTTGGAAGCGGCAAAGTGTTTTGAGAAGAGTTTGAATACCAAATGCGTGGCTGATGGAGAGCAGGCAAAGTGGGAACCAATTCTGTCGAACTTGCTGATCTACGTCTTACTGGCGACACGAAGCACTGAACATTATGGCTTTGCGAAAAAGCACTCTCCATTTTTGAAGGCAATGACACTTGTCAACACGACAAACCAATAGAATCGTAGCAGAATAACCCTAGTAGACTCCTAGTGAAAACTAGGACCCACAGTTTCACAACTTCTAATGGCAAACGGAAATGATGGCGAAATTGATGAAAGAAGTGCCTAGGAAGAAGTTGGAAGCCGTGGAAAAGCTCCAATCGCTAGTGAAAGACTTCCAAACAGACAAGCTTCTCGCTTGGCCACTACCGTGCGACGCTGAGCTGAAGCAACATCCAGTCTTCAAAAAGCCAGCTGGTATTGGTTTTTTTTTCGGTCTTCCACAGCTAAGTCTAGACTTCTATTGCGTTGTGAACTAGACTGAGCAACACCTACATCCAGGTTGACAATTCCCTCTCTTGAACCTTACAATCCTATCACTCAGCACCTCATCTTCTGGTTATGATCTCTATCTCTCCACAGCAACCGCTACGACGAAGAGTGGGACAGTTGCGGATTTGATGGCGCTGTTGCGCAAGCGTGTAATTCAGCATAACTTGCGAGTCGTTTCGCTCTATTACGTCCGCGTCGAGACCACGCGATTGATGGCACTTATGAAAAAAGAAAGGCTACCAGTTATAGAAATAAATCAGTCCGCAGGAATCAGTAGAAATAATTGTTAGTGAAAAATCGGGTCTATCAATACCTCTTTGAGTGAAAAAGATGTCAACAGGCATAGACTAAGACCCAGTAGACATCATCAGCACCAAGTCAAACTAGTAGCTGACAGACGTACCACTAGTGTGCCATTTCCGATTTGATAACTTGAATAAATAGTGTCGCGAACAGTCGGGTATTTTGCTTTTCATTCTGTTGCAGTGTCCCAACTGAGCCCCCCCTTTCTTCATCTTCTTCCTTGGCCTGACTCAGAACGAATTGGAGGAGGAGCTGTCGGAATTGGTGATCGCCAAGTCAATATTCGCGCGAATTGATCGGCCCAAGGGCGTCATTCGGTTCGGAGATGAGCCTTCAGCGGAAGCGAAATTGAACACGTGGTCATCTTGTTAAGGCTCAGATGGCTCAACACATTTCATTTTCTTGTTATCTTTCCAAGGGTCGTTTCTGAAGAGTCACACATTTCATTTTCTTGTTATCTTTCCAAGGGTCGTGCCTGAAGGAAAGATACCTTCTGTTTTTCCATCAAAGGAGAAATACCGAGAGGTGTCTCTTAGAAATGAACAATGGATTTGAGCTCTAATCCTGCGTAGACACAGTGCTAGACTTGGTGAAGGACACAGGCCACTTGATCCAGAAAGAAAGGATGATTCAGGAAGCGAAGGCTAAGTTGAAGAAAAAGTAGATCATTCGTGAAGTGTTAATGTCTTCTCTCAAGCAGTGGTTTGCAAAGACTTCTATGTAATAAGACTATTTAAGGATCGATGGAGAAGAAGTTTTTAGTTGTTCTTGCTGTGGTAGTTGCAGCAATAGAAGTGATCGGGTGGATCAAGAAAGGGTTCGATACAAGATGGTGAAGAAGTTGTGTAAGTATAATATTAAGGCCTTGACGAGCTTCTACGAACATTCGACACCTTCCTCAAAGGCCACGACAACGACTAAAACGATCCTGATGTCATGCGTTTTTGAGAGGTCGAAATTGTGATGAAAAAAGCGCTATTAGGTTCCCCCCCTCACCCAAGCACCTCAATCCAGACTAACGAGACGGTCATCCTCCCGAAAATACAATGCCCTTTTGTAGAAGTAGCTGCGCCAAACGTGCGACCACTCTCATCCCATTAAGATTTTTTTTTATTCTTCATCCCGATTTGCTTTGACCCTGCCTTGGATCTTCTCAGGAAGAATGGGGGAGACGGAGATGTTACATCCTAGTAGATGCCACATCCTAGTTGTAGCTTTTTGCATTGTGTTGTCTTGGTTTTTATTCGAAAATCATTGCCTGTTCATGAGATCATGATACAGCAAGATCTACATGTCTTTCAATACACGTTTCGCGAACTCGGTCTAGAGTGAGAGTCAGAGAAGCTGTACGAAGAGTCAAGTAACAGATGAAGAGGTATCTTTCATGGAATTAATATATGCTCTTAGATAATTTTTCCAGAGATGAAAGAATACAACACATTCACATAAAAGAAGCTGGCACGAGTTTGGTGTAGTCAGGTTCGTCAGAGGAGAAGGTGTCCCACCCTGCTCTTGTCGAAAAGGAGGGAGGGAGCAACAAAGAAGAGCTTCTTCGACATGCGAAAACTAAGAGTTCAGTGGTGCTGTCGACGGAGAACAAGCTCTTGTCCACGACATCATTCGAAATGTACTTGTTCCTCCACCTCGACAGTGAAAGTGATGTCGTCTGTCATCTCGATGTTTCACTTCTTCTTGGTTATACTGTCATCCACGTGCGGTTGCGGCCCTTTGGTTGCATTTGGTTGGGTTTTTCGATTCTATCCTCCTGACGCGCGTAAATACCCAGTCGAATTGCAGGAACTGTACGCAAAACAGCAATTCGAAGCATCAAAGCCACTTGGGAAAAGGAATTTATGGCCATTATTTGTTTGAAGATCGTGTGTAAGTGTATGTGTCATGGGTTTTCATTTCTTTCAAGAGATTTCATTTGCGAGATGGTTTTCTCTTAATATCGAAGGCGTTTTCCCACTAATTTCGAAGAAAGCCTCAGTACGGTCGTTGACACCACACGAAGACGGCGTCGAGGTGCAAAACTGGTCTATTAACGCAGAAAATTTCCAGTTGACGCCAATTATCATCACCAGTTACAATCTTTTATGGGAATTCTGAAATTGTGCTTTTTTGTGGTCATATTCTATTGCGACAGTTGATGAAGAGAGAAATCGAAAGATGCTGGAATAAAATCGTTATCGTTATAAATACAAGGCATACTCCCCCATAATTAAAAGGGGATACGACTTTTCCTCCCTCATGCACCGCGGCTATGCTGAAACTGCTCTTCAGAAAGAAGTTGAGTTTCCCCTTTAATTTGTGGTTACGTCTCTCCGGTGGAAAGTGGCACAACTGCACAAGATGGGCTATTTCAACCTTCACATCGTTGACAACAACAGTTCCTACGCGCCGCTGATCGAGTACCTAGGCTTGTCGCGAAGGCGATCAAGAACAGATGAGGCTTCGAGCCGCCCTTTCTCCGTGTATCGCATGCAACGAAATTTCGGGCCCTATGTGCTGTGGCGCGTACCCGCAATAGCTCAGCGGATTCCACTATTACGACTGTCAGTTATGTACTGAACTAGGTTTCTACTAAAGCATTTGAGCTGCACATTGGAGAATGATAACGGCTCATGGAAAGTTTTACTTCTAGTATCGATTAATCCGAATGATTTAATATCGTCTGACCACTCAGGAAAGCTATTTTTTACCTTTTCTAATTCCAGAAGGTTCACGATTCATCCTGACGGAAGGGGATATAGTCTTCTGTCATCCGCTTTCGGGACGCGACTTCGCTCTGCGGTACAGTCAGGTGTTGGATTCGTTCCCCATTAGCGAAATCTTCAAGATCGGACCCTTGATCAACGTCACCAGGGCTTTGGTTTATGAAGATGGCTATTTTTTTCTGGGATTTGGATGATGATTGACAAATTCATTGAGCTTTTTTACTTGATGTAGTGTTAACATGGATCTTGATGTAGTTACATCACGACAAGAGAATTGTCGAAACCTGTCTATTTTGAGATCTAAGCAAAGCAGGACACGCACATTGTGCGGCACGAGAAAGATGATGTGCGCCATGCGAAGGCGGTGGTGGCAGCACCAACAGTGGATGTGGGGATTTCTCTTGATGAAACTGAAAGCGCGCCTTCTCTTTGGTCTTCTGAAGTGGACACGCACACAGTAATGTATCGCGCTGGCTCGCACCTGGTTCCAATTCACACGGTAGTTCATTCCGGGTATTCGATTCGCATGGGCCCTCCATATCAAGTCTACCACCTGCCTTACCATTATTTGAGACAACGCAGACCACGTTTGCCAAAGAGGATGTGGATGAAGCATCAAGGTAGTGCAAGTACTAGTAGAACACAACGGAGCAGTCCTCAGAGGACGAGTGAAGAGCAGAAGTTATCTTCTTTGACGTCTCTAGACCTTTCCGCGGACGAAGTGGCTGGACGAAACCTCACCGACTATGCGCGCTTGATGTTTTGTCGCTCATCAAAGGCGGGTTCATCAAAGGGCTCATCGACACGCTGGCTCAGTCCGGAGGCTGTGAGTGAAGGACTTTTCGACACAATTGTTGTATCCAATGAGAATAACACTACTAGTACAACATCCACCTCCTCACAATCACTCACAAGTGTATCAAATGACAAGACAATATTCACGTCACAATCACTCTACGACCTCCTGCATGGATGTAGTCGCGAGTTCGAAGCGGAGCTTCGATTTAGCTGTCGCGAAGCGTTCCGCACACTTAGAACTGGCATGTATGGACCCGGATATTTCACCAGACGCTTTTGTGGGAGGTGATGATGGCGCAAATCCAAACGACTAAAGCGTTGTACCAGGTTATTTCACCAGACGCCTTTGTGCGAGATGATGATGGCGCAAATCCAAACGACTTAAATCGGCTAACGACTCGTCGACCATTGGCATCTGTAGAGCTACTAATTAGACTAGCACTGAGTTCTAATGCGTGAGCCTGTTGCTTTGTGGTACCTTCACCTTTCTCACGCTCCAATACTACTAGATGAGACAATGAATTCCACTTCACGAATCTTCTCCAACGTCTGGGATCAACTCCATGATACAATACATCGCAACATCACCACGGATTCTTCTATGAGTACTAGACTTTTGGGGCTTCGCTCGCGGTTTCTGTTATCTTTCTAGACGTTAAAAAAGGCCTGAGGTATAAAAAATAGAAAAAACTACTCAGCGACGAAAGAAAAAGAACACAGAAAAAAGCGCGCGCCTTAAACATCCGCAAAAATGAGAAAAGTGCTGCGTGTTGGTGTTGGGTGACTATGGGTATGGATAGGGATGCGGATATGGATACGGCTACGGGTATGGATGTGGGATATGGGTGTGGGGCATGGATGTGGGAAATGGATGTGGGGCATGGGTGTGGGATATGGATGCGGGCTATGGATGTGGGGCATGGATGTGGGATATGGATGTGGGATATGGGTGTGGGATATGGGTGCGGGCTATGTTTATGGGATATGGGTGTGGGATATGGATGTGGGACATGGATGCGGGACATGGATGCGGGACATGGATGCGGGTTATGGATGTGGGATATGGATGTGGGATATGGATTTGGGGCATGGATGTGGGACATGGGTGCGGGATATGGATGCGGGATATGGAAGTGGGATATGGATGTGGGAAATGGGTGTGGGATATGGATGGGGGACATGGATGCGGGATATGGATTTGGGACATGGATGTGGGATATGGATGCGGGATATGGATTTGGGATATGAATGCGGGATATGGATCTGGGATATGAATCCGGGATATGGATCTGGGGCGTGGATCTGGGATATGGATCTGGGATATGGATCTTGGATCTGGGATATGGATCTGGGATATGGATCTGGGATATGGATCTGGGATATGGATCTGGGATATGGATCTGGGATATGGATCTGGGATATGGATCTGGGATATGGATCTGGGATATGGATCTGGGATATGGATCTGGGATATGGATCTGGGATATGGATCTGGGATATGGATCTGGGATATGGATCTGGGATATGGATCTGGGATATGGATCTGGGATATGGATCTGGGATATGGATCTGGGATATGGATCTGGGATATGGATCTGGGATATGGATCTGGGATATGGATCTGGGATATGGATCTGGGATATGGATCTGGGATATGGATCTGGGATATGGATCTGGGATATGGATCTGGGATATGGATCTGGGATATGGATCTGGGATATGGATCTGGGATATGGATCTGGGATATGGATCTGGGATATGGATCTGGGATATGGATCTGGGATATGGATCTGGGATATGGATCTGGGATATGGATCTGGGATATGGATCTGGGATATGGATCTGGGATATGGATCTGGGATATGGATCTGGGATATGGATCTGGGATATGGATCTGGGATATGGATCTGGGATATGGATCTGGGATATGGATCTGGGATATGGATCTGGGATATGGATCTGGGATATGGATCTGGGATATGGATCTGGGATATGGATCTGGGATATGGATCTGGGATATGGATCTGGGATATGGATCTGGGATATGGATCTGGGATATGGATCTGGGATATGGATCTGGGATATGGATCTGGGATATGGATCTGGGATATGGATCTGGGATATGGATCTGGGATATGGATCTGGGATCTGGGATATGGATCTGGGATATGGATCTGGGATATGGATCTGGGATATGGATCTGGGATATGGATCTGGGATATGGATGTGGGATATGGATGCGGGATATGGGTGTGGGATATGGATGGGGGATATGGATGGGGGATATGGATGTGGGGTATGGATGTGGGGTATGGATGTGGGATATGGATGTGGGGTATGGATGTGGGCCATGGATGTGGGGGATGGGTGTGGGAGATGGATGCGGGAGATGGATGCGGGATATGGATGCGGGATATGGATGCGGGATATGGATGTGGGATATGGGTGTGGGATATGGGTGTGGGATATGGGTGTGGGATATGGGTGTGGGATATGGGTGTGGGATATGGGTGT